GGTCTTCAGCAGAGACCTGAAAATGGGAAGGGAGGGAGCGAGACGAAGGGAGTGAGGAAGGCAGTTTCAGAGCCTCGGGACATAGTGGCCGAAGGCACGGCCGCCGAGGGTGGAGCGGAGACAAGGAGGAGGCCAGACCCAGAGGAATGAAGGCAATGGGTACTGTTTTGAGGAGAGAGGAGTTCAGAGAGGTCGGGGGTTGCAGAAGAGTGCAGGGACTTGAATACAAGGGTGAGGATCTTGAAATTGATCCTCTCTGGGATAGGCAGCCAGTGCAGTCTGGCAAGGACTGGGGTGATCAGGGAGCAGAGTTTCGTGCAGGGGAGAATGCGGGCGGAAGAGTTTTGAATGATTTAGATTTTATGGATGGTAGTGGATGGGAGACCGGCAAGAAGGACGTTAGAGTAGTCCAGCCGAGAGGTGACAAAGGCATGGACCAGAGTTTCAGCGGCTTTTGGGGAGAGGTATTAGTGGAGACGGACAATGCGTCAGAGGTAGAAGAAAGTGGTGCTGGTGAAGGATCAGATGTGGGGTAGAAAGGATAATTGGGGGTTGAACCTGACGCCTGGGTTGCAGACGGGTTTGGAGAGATTTAGGGGAGGTCGGGTAGGTGGAGGAGGTGAGAACCGTAAGATTTTAGACGTTGATGAGAGCCAAAGAGTATGGCTTCCGTCTTGTCAACATTCAGCTGAAGGAAGTTTGCGCTCATCCAGCCCCTGAGATCTGACAGGCAGACTGACAGAACATCAGGGGACTGGGAGTCGCAAAGAGAGGTGGAAAAATAGAGTTGGGTGTTGTCTGCATACATGTGGAAATGTACCCCATGTCTGTGGATGACATCCCCAAGAGGAAGCATGTAGATCAGAAAGAGGAGGGGGCCAAGGATGGATCCTTGGGGTACCCCACAGGTGACCGGGTGAGAGCGGGAGGAGAAGCCGTTTGTGCAGATGTACTGCTGGTGGTTTGTGAGGTAGGACTCGAACCAGGCTGTAAGAATCCACTGAGGTGGATGACGGAGGAAAGACCCTTTGTCTGTTCACACCAATGCTGATGTTACCTGTTTGAGATAACAACAACAAAATTACATTTGTATAGCGCCTTTCACGTCGGAAGGACGTCCCAAGGTGCTGAACAGACAGAGTTTCGGACCCAAGCTGGGGGTCGGAGTCAGGGAGTGTGGAGGGCGGGGTGGAAGCAGGGAGATCAAAAGCACAGTTGAAGAGGAAGGTTTTGAGATGGGTCTAGAAGGAGGCAAGAGAAGGGGCGAGTTCCAGAGGGTGGGTGCAGAGTGGCTGAAGGCCGGCCGCCAATAATGGGGCAAGCGATGGAGGACGTGAAGCAGCGGAGCCCGCTGAGTGGAGTGAGCGAGCAGGATGGTAGGGGGTTAGGAGGTCGCAGAGGTAGGTGGGAGCAAGACCATGGAGGGCTTTGAAGAGGACTAGGATCTTGAACTGTATCCTCTATGTGATGGGAAGCCAGTGGAGTCGGGCAAGGCTGGGGGTAATAGGGTCATGGAGCTTGGTGTGGGAGGACTCGGGTTGCAGAGTTCTGGATGATCTGCAGCTTATGGAGGGAGGAGTTGGGGAGGCTGACAAGCAGTGAGTTTGCTTAGTCAAGCCTCTATGTAATGAAAGCATTTCGGCGGCATGCGGTGTGAGATAAGTTACTTGAAGTGACCAAACACCCCTTCCCTTGCCTCCTTCGAGGTCCATCTCAAGATCTTCCTCTTTGACTGCACCTTCGATCATTTTCCCACCCCACCTCACTTGGCCCCACTTCTCGAATCCAAGCCAGCTCAGATACATTGTCTCAGATACTGTCCTTGGAACATCCTCCCGATGTGAAAGGCACTATGTAAATACAATTTGTTGTAGTGTGCATTTGAGCAATGAAGTGATATCAGGAAGTGATATCAATGGCAACCTGACGACCCGGAGGACAACCATCATTTGGCCGCCCTATTTCCCGCACCACTACCCTCACGCCTTCGCCCTCTTCCCAGAACCATAATAGGGTCCCCCTAATCCTCACTTTCCACCCCACTAGCCTCAAAATCCAAAAAATAATTCTCTGCCATTTGCGGCACCTCCAGCGTGATCCAACCACTAAGCGTATCTTTCCCTCCCCTTCCCTCTCAGCGTTCCGAAGGGACCGTTCCCTCTGTGACTCCCTGGTTCATTCCTCCATCACCACCAAAAGTTCTTCTCCTCCCCGGGACTTTCCCATGCCAGCGTAAGAGATGCAATACCTGCCCTTTCACCTCTCATACCACTGTCCAGAGCCCCAAACATAGATTTCAAGTGAGACAGTGATTTACGTGTACTACCATCAATGTATTTTACTGCATTCGCTGCTCACGATGTGATCTCCTCTACACTGGGGAGATAAAATGCAGATCAGGTGACCGATTTGCTGAACACCTCCGTTCTGTCCGGAAGCACAACCCCGAACTTCTGGTTTCTTGCCACTTCAACTCTGACCTCTCCATCCACGGTTTCCTACGCTGTTCCAATGAGCCACAGTGCAAGCTCGAGGAACAGCACCTCATTTATCTGCTAAGGTCCTTACAGCCCTCAATATTGATTTCAACAATTTCAGACCATAACAGCTCACCTTCCCCCTCCCCCTCTTCTGTGACCATTATCACATCATCTTGGTCCCAGACACATCTTTTTCTCTCTCTGGTCTGCCTATTTTGTTGCAATCTTTATCCCCCTTTGTTCTGCAGTATTAACACCTCTTTTCCCCTGCTTTGTTGCAATCCCCCCATTTGTTTTGAATTATTAACCCTTTAATCCATCATCCCCTGTCTTCTACCTCATTTTCTCCTTTGTCTTCCTTGCCCTGCCTGCCCCCAGCCCTTAAAAGACTCTCCCTCCCAACAGACCCCAATTCTGACGAAGAGTTATGGCCCTGAAATGTTGACTCACTTTCCTTTCTTCATAGATGCTGTCTGACCTTCTGAGCATTCCTAACAACTTTTTTTTAATGTCAAGATTGGTGCCCATTAGATGTGTTTACAACACCACCACCAAAATTACATTTATAGAGCGCCTTTCACGTTGGGAGGACGTCCCAAGGCCCTGGACAGTCAGGGGTCAGGACTCGAGCATGGGGCAGGGGTGGGTTAGGGGTGAGGGAAGGCAGAGAAGTGGGAGGGCGACTGAAGGCACGATCGAAGAGCAGGGTCTTGAGGCCGACCTTGAAGGAGGCAAGGGAGGAAGAGAGGCGAAGGGACTGTGGGATGGAGTTCCAGAGTGTGGGGGCAGAGAGGCTGAAAGCTCGGCCACCGAGGTAGGGCGGGTCGGCGGGAGACATGGAGCAGGCAGGAGCCCGCTGAACGGAGGGAGTGGGCAGGTTGGTAGGGAGTCAGCAGGTCAGAGGTAGGAGGAGGCAAGGCCATGGATAATGGTCTTGAAAGTGAGGACGAGGATCTTGATTCCATTTTTAGAGCGCCTTTCACGTCGGGAGGACGTCCCAGCAGCAGGGGAGTGAATTGATGGAAGCTCGCATTCCATGGAGGAATGTACATACAAAGATAACATTTAGCTAACCTGCCTGTGGTTTCATCTATCATTTTAATTTGTTTTTATGATTTGTTAGTTGAAACATTTTCATTTTAAGCAACCATGCATGTTGGATGATCCAATGTGCTAGTTTAGATTAATTTGACAAAGGATTTATTGAATAGTTGTAGAATTTCCATTAGTCTTGTGTATTGTGTAACATGGTGACGTGTCATCTGAGTGAAGTCCAATTTTAAATAGCTTCATGAAATCAATTTTACTACAACCAACCTCAATATCTAGAATGTGGAGAGATTGTTTCACAGTGAGTGCCTCTCCCAGATGGACGTGACTACAGATCAAGATCTACTGGGATTCTGCCAGATAGAAAATTGCTCACATTTCTGGCCAGACAAATTCCTTGAAAGCCTATACCGCATTTTAGAATGTTTCTGGCAGCAGTTTAGCAACCACCAATGTCTAGGTCAGATCTGATGAGCATTCTTGTTGAGGCTAATGTTGGGCAAGGATAATAATAATAATCCTTGCATTTGATATGAGTGAGAATGCGGTATCTTCGGTGTCGTGCATGTGGTGGAGTTGTCCTTTTTGTGTTACATAACTGCTTTTGGGACCTGCTTTCTGTTTTCCCTCCAAGGTTATATTGTTGTCTTTATTTTCCAAATTTTGACCCTATTCATATTCTTGTTGTGCTAATAAATGTGCAAAAAAGGGAGTTTTTGGTGATTTTCTGGATGGGGCAAGAGCTCATGGGACAGCCATGCATAGTGTATTATATTTATTGCTCCCACTTGGAACCTTGGTCTCTGATATGAAAGAAGGAGTTGTCACCTTCATGTTAATCTTGCAGAATACTTCAGAGCCATTTTAAAAAGAATGTGTCTGATGTTCCTTGTCTGTTGCTACTATCTCCCTCATAAGAACACTGCAAGTGAACCGTGATAGAGAATCTGACTCAACCAAGGAGGACTACATTTCTGATGAGTTCCTCATTTTTCCCAAGGCTGCAGCTTATTCTTTGAAGATGTTTTATTATTTGGCCACTTATAGGTTTTATATAAAATGTGATATTTGTGTTGTTTTATTTTGAAATGGGAATTACAACAACAACAAAATTACATTTGTATAGTGCCTTTTCACGTCGGGAGGACATCCCAAGGGGCTGGAATTAGACTGTAAATGTCTCAGCATCTATTATTCACTTGCTTGAGTACCTTTTAAATCAATTGTTTGAAAAAATACTGGTCATTTCAATATCCAGGAAGCAACTGCAGTGTTGAATGATTTGTTTTGTTGTACATATTACAACAATGATCAAAGCCATTTTGTTTTCGCAAAAGAGAAGCAGATGGTCCCACCATTATAGGAGTTTTACTGATTAAAATTGCTTTTCTATAGGAATAAATATCTTTTGTTTAGTCCGAGCATTTTGGTTTAATGAAATAATTATAGGAGTTTTTTTCATTAATTCAGGGGCATCAAAAGATGGAGCAGTGGATGAAGATGATTTCACAAGAGCATTTGATGACGTGCCTACAGTACAGGTATTTACACAATACATTCATTTGGAAAAAGCCTTTCCGATGACTTGCACTCTAACTACAATATATTATTGAACTAAATAATGGTGGTATTAATAGTAATAACAATAATAGCCCTTGTATTTGATGTAGCATCTTCCATGTCCGGAGGTTGTCTCAAAGTATTTCTTAGGGCTTCTTATAAAGTGTAGTAACCATTTTGAAGGCAAACCCTGCAGACTGTTTCTGTACTGCAATCTCCCACAACAGCCATAAAGTGAATGATCAGATTTATCTGAGGAATGTTGGGCCGGACACTGGGAGAAACTTATTTTCTTTTTAAATAGTGCCATATGATCTTTATTATCCACCCGAACAGGCACAGTTTAAGTTTAAAGTCTTATCCGAAAGATAATACCTACAACAATGCAGTGCATCTCCAGCACTCTATTGGAGTATCAGACTAGACTATGAGAGTTCAAAGTCCCAACATGGGCTTGAACCCCACACCATCCTTTGGATGAGACGATATACCAAGGTCCCATCTTCCTGTTCAGGTAGATGTTAAAGATCCCATGGCATTATTCGAAAAGAGAAGCAATATATCCCAGCCAACAATCCCCCAAATAAAAATTAATTCACTTAATAGCTATTTGTGTGCAAATTGGCTGCCACTTTTGTCCAAAAATTCAAAGTAAAATCCTGTGAAGCGCTTAATAAGGCGCTGCAGCAAATGCAAGGATTATTTTATTGGCAAAGAATAAAAACACTGGCAACGAATAGTTTGCCCAAATGACTTGTTTCTGTTCTGTAACATTCTATGTAATTCTAAGTGGATGACAAAAGTTTTGTAGTTGAAGAACCGATCTGTTTTTTCTGAGTTTTTTTTTTACCCCCTCTCAGATTGAATCTAGCAATCTGTTTATGTAAGTGATGGGCAGCCTCAGAAACAGAAAATATTCATTTTAGGAATGCAGATTATTCCTGGATGCTGATTGTTTAGGTTGTGCACAGGTGTTTAGAGTTATTGACACCCTAGATATATGGTTCCTTTGTATTTTATTGTATGGGGGACTATTTAAAGGGGAATGTATTTTTGATGTCCGTGTGACAATGCACTTATGAATAAATTCAGTCTTTGCTTTTTTAATTTTGGGAACACCTTAGGCAAGTTTCCTTACTCCACACGCCACTGTTTACCTAGCAGTAAGTAGGAACCCAATTGTTAGTCAATTGGCGGATCGCTTTTCTGGGCATAATAATCTCTTAAAAACAATTTGGTCACTCAATCCAATAGTGTTTGTGAGACACCGCTGTGCGCAATTGGCTGCCGTGTTTCGCTGACAAAATATACAGTCAATTCACTTTAAAGTGTATTCTATGAAGCACTTTGAGACATCTCAAAGATTAAGGTACTATATCAAATGCAAGGGTTATTATAAATAGTGAGGTAGAATATAGGGTGTGGAGTGAACATTATAATGCATATATTGAGGTTTTGGGTTATGATGATCAGTGTCTGCTTGGGTGGATATAGTGCTCTCATGTTTGGGACAAAGGCAGCACGGGTGGGGGTTGGTGGTGGGGGTGGGGGATGGCAGAGAGGGGGCACCACTGCTGATTCTGAGGAATTAACAGTGTTCAAATATTTAAATTTCATTTTCTGAATAAATATTTTATAGAAATTTATAACCAGTTATCTGCGCTGCGGCTATGATTCATTAAGTGTAACATTCTCCCCCCCACCCCCACCCGAGTACATTTTCTTTTGTAGCAAATATGAGGGGAATTCTGTTCATCTATCTGTCATTGCCGATATTGTTCAGTCTGAACCTTTTGTGAGGTCTTAGTGTTAAAAGCTGAGAAAATTACAAATATCAAGTCTGTCTACTTTGTGACTTCAACCTCCACTTCACACCCTCCTGCTCCATCTCCTCAGACTTGTCTCTCCTCTCTCTCAACCTCTCCCTCCACATCCACTCTGCTACCCACACCCACGGTCGACCTGGTGATCACCTGGGGCCTCAGCGTCTCGGATGTCACCATCACTGACAAGGCCATCTCTGACCACCATTTCATCTTCCTCAACTCCCATATCCCTCTCCCCGCTGCCTCCAAACCTACCACCATCTTCTATCGCCCGTGGAAGAAGACTTCCCCGCAATCCCTCTCTGCTGCCCTGGAGACCTTTGATCTCCTCCCCCTCTGGCTCACCACTCGCAACAATCCACTCACTGCACTCACTCTTCTCCACAGCACCCTCTCCACCACACTCGACGTTCTTGCCCCCCTTACCTCCCGAACCGCCTCCTATTCTCAATCTTCACCCTGGTTCACCAGCCACCTCCGCTTACTGCCGAACGCACTTGGCTCAAATCCGGCCTAACGGTCCACACCCCATCTGGCTGGACCTCATCAAGAACTACCGCTCCGCTCTCGCCTCAGCCAAATCATCCTTCTATTCCAGGTTAATCCTGGAGGCGAAAGGCAATCCCAGGCTCCTGTTCTCCACCACTAACCGGCTCCTCCACCCTCCCTGACACGCCTCACAGATACTTTCCTCCGATTCTCACTGCGAGAAAATGCTGGACTTCCTCGAGTCCAAAATCGAGGGAATTCGCTCAGCTACCACTGCCCTCCCAACTTCCAATCCCTCCCTGCCCCACCTCACACAATTACCCATTCAACAATCACCCGTCCCTCCTTCCAGACCTTTGATCCTGTCACCCCCTTCTCTGTCTTCAACACGGTAACCTCCATGGTCCACCACCTGCTCCCTCGAACCCATCTCCACCCCTCTCCTTAAATCTCAGCTCCACCTCCTTGCCCCACTACTCGCCGACATCATTAACCTCTCTATGTCATCTGGCACTGTTCCTTCCCCCCTCAAAGCAGCCACTATCACCCCCACCTTGAAAAAACCTTCCCTCGACCCATCAAAGCTATCTAGCTACCGACCCATCTCAAATCTCCCTTTCCTATCCAAGGTCCTTGAGAGAACCGTTGCCTCCCAGCTTTGCTCTTTCCTCTCCTCTCACTTCCTCCATAAACCCCTCCAATCGGGTTTCCGTGCTGCCCACAGCACCGAAACTGCTCTGGTCAAGGTCACAAACGACATCCTGACTAGGTGTGACCAGGGCTCCCTCTGCCTCCTCTTCCTCCTTGACCTCTCCGCCGCCTTTGACACCGTGGACCACTCAATCCTCCTCCACCGCCTCTCCTCCCACCTCAACCTTCAAGGTTCTGTCCTTGACTGGTTCAGGTCCTACCTTTCACACTGCCTCCACTTCGTCACGGCAAACGGCTTCTCCTCCAGCCCCCGCACTGTCTCGTGCAGTGTTCCTCAGGGCTCTGTCCTCGGTCCCCTCCTCTTTACCCTCTACATGCTCCCCCTTGGTGACATCATCCACAGACATGGGGTAAATTTCCACATGTATGCGGATGACACCCAACTCTATCTCTCTGCCTCCACTCTGAACTCCAGAACTACTGAGGTCCTGATCGACTGCTTATCCAACATCAAGTCCTGGATGAGGGCCAACTTTCTCCAACTCAACGCCAGCAAGACCGAGGCCCTCCTGATTGGCTTGCGCCAGCGCCTTCGCACCTCAGGTGTTGGCAGCATCATCCTCCACGACTGCACACTCAACCTTACTAAGCCAGTCAGGAACCTGGGTGTCTTGTTTGACCCTGAACTGTGCTTTCTCCCCCACATCCACACCATGACTGGCACTGCCTACCACCACCTCCGCAACATTGCCAGACTCCGCCACTGCCTCACCCCTCAGGCTGCCGAAACCCTCACCCACGCATTCGTCACCTCATTGGCCTTCTGAACTTTTTCTTTCACAAGCTGCAGATCATCCAAAACTCTGCAGCTCGTGTACTCTCACGTACCAGGCTCCGCGACCCCATCACTCCCATCCTCGCCCGACTCCACTGGTTCCCCATCCCCCAGAGGATCGAATTCAGGATCCTCATCCTCACCTTTAAGGCCATCCATGGCCTTGCCCCCTCCTACTTCTCTGACCTTCTGACTCCCTACCAACCTGCCCACTTCCTCCGTCTAGTGGGCCTGCTCCATGTCTCCCACCCGACCCGCCCTACCATCGGTGGCCGGGTTTTCAGCCTCTCTGCCCCCACACTCTGGAACTCCATCCCACGGTCCTTTTGTCTCGCTTCCTCCGTTGCCTCCTTCAAGGCCGTTCTCAAGACCCTTCTCTTCGGCCGTGCCTTTGGTCTCCCTCCCACCTCTCTGCCTTCCCTCACCCCTACACCACCCCTCCCCCCCATGGTTGGGCCCTGACATCTGACTGTTCAGCGCTTTGGGATGTCCTCACGCCGTGAAAGGCGCTCTATAAATGTAATTTTGTTGTTGTTGTTGTTTGTGAAAGTAATGTTAGAAAGCTATTGAATATATTTTTGTTAGTATTGATAGCAGCAATAGTATATTTATTCTCTTATATTCATGACCGTGTTTCTTGAGGTGTTGGATTGCCATTGTGTTCAATGTAACAGTGTTGCAGACTTAAGCAGAAAGATTCCTCTTGAGGGATTTGGTGAGCAGAGGTTAGGCTTAGCGGTGATGTCCTCCATCACCAAGATACCTGATGAGTATCCTTCTTAGGTTCACAAATGAATAATGGCCATGTGGGCAGAGTCCCAGAGGACAACCTTATTATTATTAATAATTATTAATGTGGTTGTGGAATTGCACCCTAGTACCAGGTGGTTAGGAACTAAGAGCAAGGACATGTGCCAATGGGGAGAGCATTTCAAAATCAATGGACACACTAAATCTAAATTTAAAAAAAGCACCTGAAGAGTTATTCAGCTGAAATGTGAGGAAGCAGTCTGAAGTGAATCCTTTAAAAGGAATTTAATTCCTGACCTTGCTATTTATCATCATTGCCCGGTAGTTGCAAAGCAAAATTGTGTGAGTCATGCCATTCTGTCTTACAGATTTTCTCCAATAGAGAACTTGAAGAGACCTTGAACAAAATTCGAGAAATACTGTCGGATGATAAGCATGACTGGGATCAGCGAATCATTGCTGTAAGTTTTGAAAAAATATTTTTGTCAGCCTGATTCTGCTCATTAAGTGAAACAAAGATTACTTAACTGTTCATTCAGTGACTTGCAGAACTCTGCATTAAGATATTGCATGGACAAGTTAAAATTCATAGTTCTTGCTTCAACTCAACTTCAAATGAAAACATTGGATGGGTGTAAAGTATCTGTGAGGCTGAAATGAGTTTAGGGAGTTACTCCCCAATCCAAGCCAAAACACAGAATTGTCAAAAATCAGAACAAATTAAAACCTAAGTGAATAAAAATAGTTTTTAAAAAAGGATATGGCAAAAGAAAGAGGAATGAGATGAGAGCATTGCACCCAGTCCTTGCCAGACTTCACTGACTCTTGACTGCCAGCAGGTCAACTTCAAGGCCCTCGCCCTCCTTTCATGCTTTAGTGCCTCCATGTCTCTGTGACTTTCCACATTTGAATGTCAGCAAGATTGAGGCTCTCTTGATTGGCTCCCATCAGCATCTCTGAAACTGGCAGCATCAGCATCCAAGGATGCACATTCCACCTCACCAAGCTAGTCAGGAACCTTTGTGTCTTGTTATCTTTTCTTCCCCCACATCTGTGCCATGACCCGCTCTACCTTCCACCTCCGCAACATCACCCAGCTCCGCTACTGCATAATCTCTTAGGCAACCAAACCTTCATTCACGCATTCATCAGGTCTAAGCTTGACTTCACCAACTCCCTGCTTGTTGGCCTTTCCAACTCTTTCCTCTACAAGCTGCAGATCATCCAGAACTCTGCAGCTCATGTCCTGTCCTGCACCAGGCTCCGTGACCCCATCACACCCACGCTCGCCCGGCTCCACTGGCTTCCCATCCCTCAGAGGCTTGAGTTCAAAAATCTCAGCCTCACCTTCAAGGCCCTCCATGGCCTTCCCCCCTCCTATCTCACCAACCTGATAACCCCTTATCAACCTGACCGCTACCTCTGTTTAGCAGGCTCTGGTCTGCTCTATGTCCCCCTCCCGGCCCACCCCACCATCAACGGTCGGGCTTTCAGCCCTTGCCTCCTTCAAGGCATGCCTCAAGACCCTTCTCTTCAAACATGCCTTCAGCCATCCTTCTATCCTCTCTGCCCACCACCCTCCCAGATCCCAACCCCCCACCCCCACTCCGGTCCTAATCCCTGACTGTTCAGAGCCTTGGGACGTCGTCCCGACGTGTCATTTTGTATTTGTATTGTATCATCCCCTATTTCCACTGCTCTCTTTCTGTTAAGCTGACTCGGGCTGCTTGGCTGCATATTCCCTTCCTTCTCCGAGCTACCACAAGTGGTCGAGCTTTCAGCTACTAACCCCTAACCTGTGAAATTCCCGCCCTCTACTCCATTTGCAATTGATTTGTAGAAATTAATGCGGGTAAGAATGTGGGTGATGGAGCCTTACGCAAAAAATGCCATTCAACCCAACATATATGTGCTGCTGCTAGCTGCTGACTAGACTTATCTGCCGTCATCTCATTTTGCCTTTCATTTGCCTCCTTTTCCCCTCTTCTCTGTCTTTAAATCCAGTTTAAAACCTCCAATTGAGCCCATGGTCATCTCTCTCTTCCTCGTTTCCATTGCACGCCATTGATCCCCATCATTATGTACCATCCAAGGCATTATCCTACATGAAGGGTTCCATATAAGTGCAAGAAGTTAACTTTGTATCGTTCTATGAAATTGGTAACCTCAGTCATATGCACAGCTGGTGAAGAAAGGCCACTTCATGGCTCCAACCATCTCCAGGTTGTCTGAACTTTCGTGAGGTTCCACATGCTGTCTTGGTGATGCTTTAAGATTTGTCATCTGCTTCCTCATGTGGTGGAGATGTAGGCATACTGCTTCGTAACATATGGTTACTTCAACGTGGAAGATATGTTACAATTGAACATTTTTAAAATATTTAGATTATTAATCGAAGGTTATTACTGTAACCTACTGTTATGAATTGAGCTTTCCATTCTTGGTGCAGGTTCTAATGGTAATGGCAGCACCCAAAGCCAAGTGAAAGTGCTTCCTACTTCCTTGTTTTGATCAGTAGATAAATTCTCCAGTTAATTAATTTGATTGACCCTTAATCAGAACTGAAACGATTAGGTTGGAGAATCTCCTTTTTTTAGGTTAGTGAACTCTGTAACACTAGGGTTCTTATCCTCTCTTCCTACCCTTAATTGTTAAAAAAAATCTATTATTGTTGAAAACTTTTCCTACTTTAAAAAAAATGGGCTATAAGACCAAGAATTTATTCCCTTATTTTCTATTAAATACGTTTTAAAGAAAATGCTTATGCTAAAAGGAATTTTTATGGTTATCCAAAAGTATCAACGTTTTGTTCTTCTGCTATTTAAAAAAAAGGAAACAATTAATTCACAATGTGATGTGTTAAGCAAATAAATACTGCAAAAGCAATAGTGTCTAAAATGCCATGATTTTTCCTATAAGGTTCAGATTTTTATCATTACTGTTTTTTTTAAACACTGGAAATGAATAAAAACAGAGAACTGACTTGTTTCATTTTGTCTCTAAGCTGAAGAAGATTCGATCCTTACTAATTGCTGGAGCTACAGAGTATGACTGTTTCTTTCAGCATTTGAGATTGTTGGAAGGAGCCTTTAAATTATCAGCAAAAGACCTACGGTCACAGGTTGTCAGGGAAGCATGCATTACTGTGGCGTGAGTATTGATGAAAAATAACCAAAATTGTTTATCTATTTCAGTATATTTCTGGTAAAGCAAGTCCTATTCACATTTACATTTCATTATTTGATTAAACTATTTTACATCGAATGCACATTAGTGATCCATCACCCTAAAACTTTTTTTTAAAGTTGACCAGAGCAATAATGTGCAAAATATTTCTGATGTTATAACTTAGATGGTCTCCGTGATTATTAATGCGTTTCTGTTATTAGACCATAACAGATCTTTTAACTCTGCTCCAGTCCCTCTCTTCATTTTCCCTTCATACCCAGATGCAAATCGATCTCACTTTTAAACATCTCAAACAATTTTGAATCTATAAACAATAGCTTCTGTCAGTGTAGCTCAGCTTGAAATACTTTCGCCTCTGAGTCAGAAGGCTGTGGGTTCAAGCCCCATGTCGTAACTTGAACTCAATAGCTAAGCTGAACTCCAATACAGTGCTGGTGGATAGGTTGTTGCATTCTCAGAGGTGCCATCCTACATTTGAGACGTTAAACCGAGGTTCCAGTGGTCGTTAAACCATGACACTACTCAACAAGAAAAAGGAGTAGTGTACTAATTGTAATTACAATGCTGATACTGGCATTTACTGACATTTTTCAGTGCTGTAAATGCTGCTACCAGCATTGTACTTGTTTGAATCCTGTGAGCAGAAGATAGTGAATAATCTATCTTCAGCTCGTGGGATTCAACCAATCTGCATCAAAGTCAATCTCCCTGGCCACTGTGAAGGTCAGCAAGGACGGTGAAGCTGCTCGGTGCGGCATTGGTGTTGGCTAGGAGAGTTGGGAATCGACACGTGCGCAGTTTTGTGGAAATTTATAATTTATTTGGTTTTGGACCCGCTCTGGCTTATCTGGAGTTACAGATATCGGAGTCCAGATAACGCATGAAGTTGGGGGTTTACTGTATGTATATTTCCCTCCAACCTGAAAGATGAAGTTGCATAAATAACTTTAAAAGGGCACATTAAGTCATTTTTGAATTAATTCAGATTGTACTTAATTAGGTTTTGTGTATTTATTACATGGATTTTAAGAAACTGAACACGATTAGTGGCATTCTCACAAAACCAACACCTTTCTATCTAAAGCTTGTAGATTAGGCAATAGATTAGGTTGCTAGAAATTCCTGCATAGGAAAATAGGAATGTATAGGACTGGAAAGATGATTATGATCTCTCTAACTGATCCCAATATTTAAAAAAAAACATTTTTTAAATAATATATAATCATAGAATCATACAGCACACACAAGGCCATCCATTCGACCCATTGTGTCTGTGGCGGCTCTTTGAAAAAACCTATCCAATTCAATCCCACTCCCCCGATCTTTCCCCATATCCCTGCAAACTTGTCCTCTCCAAATAATTATCTACTTTACTCTTAAAAGTTATTATCGAATCGGCTTCCACCACCCTTTTAGGTAATGACTCCAGATCTGAACAACTCGCTGTGAGAAACCATTTCTTCTCACCTCCCCTCTGTTTTAACAACTATTTTAAATCGATGCCCTCGGGTTACTGACCCACCCACCAGTGGAATTACTTTGTGCTTTATCTCTCACACCCCTTAACTTAATTGTTTACCAGATATCTATATAATTCCTTCTTAAATTTGAAAATCACAATCTGTTCCCTGGGAAACCTGTTTGGCATGTTCACTATATGGGTAAAATAATTAAATCTGATCAAGCTGTTCACATTTCTGCTTGTGAACTTGCAAGCTTAAATATTAATTCAGTGATACAGCTGTAGATTTAACAAAAATTATAGATTGTTTTCTTGCATTTTCCTCCAAATATATTTGTGGCTCTTTTTTATTATAGACATCTGTCAACACTTTTAGGAAACAAATACGATCATAGTGCTGAAGCCATTGTGCCTACATTATTTAACCTGGTTCCAAACAGTGTAAAAATTATGGCAACATCTGGAGTAGCAGCAATTCGATGCATCATACGTGTGAGTACACTATGTATTCTATATTAAGATGTGAATGAGTATTGTATTTATGTGTACATTCTTTTTCATTTATAAATCTATGTATAAAGAGGAATTGCTTTCATTCTGTGGAGGAAGGAAGTCTGAATTGTTTTTATGTCAAATATTTTGTTCTTAAACCCCACTGGACCACCTAAAAAAATGACTGCCTTGCCCTCTTTGAAACAAAAACCTCTTTCACATGGAAATTCCAGAGATAGATTGTTGCAATGGGATACGCATTCTCTCCCAGGAGAGACACATCCTGCTTACCTTATTCTAGAAAGTATTAGATGCAGGTTTGCAAGAGCCAAGGCTTGGGGACCCCAGAGTGTGCGTTAGGTACTGCTGGAGTCCAACCAGTTAAAATCATATAACTCACCATTGAGAGCACTATCTAGCAAGCTTACAGCTGCTTGTCCAGCTAGGACCACCCTAGAGATTAGGGATTTGGTTTACAGGATTAACAGGAGCTAGGTGGGATGACTCCCTGCCCCCAGTGACTGGTCTGCCCTTCCAAGTCCCGATGATGAGCCAGCCTGGCTGTGCCGTCATCAGCAGTTCCCTGGAATACGCGGACCTACCTGGTTCAGGAACTGGACTACCGAGACTGTCACAGAGGGCTGGCTCAATTCTGATATTCCGTTACCAAACATGTCACTTTGGAAACAGTTCAGCCCCCACCACCCCCAGTACCAGGAACTCCTTGTGAGCTTCCTGTTGGGCAACACAGCTTAGCATGAAAGCATTGCCACCACCTTCTTGTCTGCAGCTCGAACACACATCCCTTCCCATTGAGCTACCTATGTGATCTTCTTCAGCTTTACTTTCCTGCCCACCCCTTCCTTTAAGTAAACTCAGTTTTCCTTCACTTCCCTCGTCCTCATCATCCCACTCTCAGTAACCGAACCTTCAGTGTCTGCTCTACCTTCTGAGACTCCCTCCCAAAACTCCTTGGCCTCACCCCTCTCTAATTGTATTCAAAAGCCTCCTGAAAACCTGTCACTTTGACCATGCCTATGGTCACCTCCCTCAAATCCCCTACCCTCATTCAGTGTCCAACACCATCTCTATGAAGCTCTTTTAGACGTTACCCTAAGTGTAAAGTCCTTTATCAATGCAGTAGTTATTTTTTCCCCAGACCAGAAAAAAAATTGGTTTCCATTTTTTGGTTGCTTCGCTTTTTGGTCAAAGAACTGTCTCCTTCTGCATTTTTGCTGGCACTTTGAATATTTGTTTATGCTGCTCTAGAATTGTAAACTACTTATGCAGTTTTACAGACTTTGGAGTGTTTTGAATATTAGCCCAATGCACTCTTAGGAATTTCTTTACTTCTTGCCTTCAACAATTGAAAGCTTATTCCACAATGTGATGAGCTTTGTTAATATTTAGACCGCCTTTTCCATAGCAACATCTTGTATTCAAGCACTGCTGAAGCTAAATACAGCTTTAACATTGCGTGATGTGAAGAGCTTTCTCATTGTGAATTATTTACTCTCCCCCGGTCTTCTCTGCGAAAGATGACATGTGGAGGATGTGCAGTTCCACAAATTGCCTCTGGTGTGCCAAGCTTTCTGGCAGACCTTGACACTTTGAGACCTGAACATGATTTTGAACAGTGATGCTATAGATTGACAGCAATGGTTTCTGTATCAGTAAACAGGACTGGAATTTGTTGTTATCTCTTTGACTTAACTTCATGCAGGGTGAATTCCTGTTCGTCGGCCGAAAACCTCGTAGGCACAGAATAAAGCAGTAGATGTTGGCAGCAGAAGTAGATTCTTGCTGCAAGAATGGAAAGGCTTTGCACTTGGGGCAGTTAGTTTGCTTTCTGTCAAATGAAAATGTCAGAAGGTAGCCACATTGCCACAAAATAAAAGGCAGACAATATCTTCCTCCAGATCTGAGACAACAGTGTTACAGCCTCGATGGTCTACTTTATGTTAAGACAACAACAAGATTACATTTGTATAGCGCCTTTCACGTCGGGAGGACGACAATAACAACAAATCGCATTTATATTTGGTCTTTCACTGAAATGCTGTACGCTGTCCAGCACCTTGGGACGTACCTCAAAACAGTGCCCATTGCCTTTGTTCCTCCTGGTCTGGCCTCCTCCTCACCCCCCAAGTCCTCCGCTCCACCCTCGGCGGCCGTGCCTTAGCCACTCTGCCCCGAGGCTCTGGAACTCCCTTCCTCACTCCCTTCGTCTCGCCCCCTCTCTTCCTATTTTCAGGTCCCTGCTGAAGACCTTTCTTTTCGACCGCGCCTTTGGTCACCTTTCTCCCCGTCCCCCTGGCTCGGTCCCGGGATCTGTTACTGTGAAGCGCTCTGAGACACCGTCCGGCTTGGAGGGCGCTATATAAATTTAAGTTGTTGTTGTAGTTGTTGTTCACGTCAGGAGGACATCCCAAAGCCCTGGACAGTCGAAGGTTTGTACCCGAGCTGCAGGTTGTATTCAAGTGTGCTGGGGGGTGAGGGTGGGAAGGTGACTGAAGATGCAGTCAAAGATAAAGTCTTAAGATGGACTTTGAAGGAGGCATGGGAAGGGGTGATGCGGAGAGCTCCGGGATAGAGGTCCAAAGAGTGGGGATAGAAAGGCTGAAGGTCTGACCACTGATGGTGGAATGGGCAAGGCGCGGATCATGAAGCAGGATAATGCCTGCCAAGCAGAGGGTGTAGGTGGGTTGGTAAGGTGTTAGAAGATCACAGAGGTAGGGTGGGGCAAGACTGTGGAGGGCTTTAAAAGTGGGGATGAGGATCTTGAACTCAAAAAGACCTTAGTAAGAGTAACTTCTTATTTCTTTCTTACCTCCGCACATAAAGTGGCCCAGTTAGTAGCATTTTCACCTATTAGTCAGAAGTTTGTGGTTTCAAGCGCCACGTTGGGACTTTGAGCTCATAACCTAAGCACTCCAGTGAGGGGGTAAAGAGTGGTGGGGTGAGGATGCTGTGTTGCATTGAGTGCTGGGTGGAGGGCTAGAGTGAGTGACAATATTTGATCTGTGGACCGTGTACTCAATACGCCAAAAAGGCATTTTCTTGACAATGATTTCTCACAATATGTAAAGTCTCACTCCAAAAGTTATTGAATAAAATCAAGAATATCTTTCAATCGGGAGACTTTTTTTCAGTTTTCTTTGTCAATATGTGTACAGTATTTCTTATTTTTTTCCCATCCAATAAAAAATACATTGTCTCCATATTGCTGTACTTTAATCTTGACTGAGATTGGTGTTAATCCTTAAATCATTTTTCTTTTGCACAGCATACTCATGTCCCAAGATTGATCCCCCTAATAACTAGTAATTGTACTTCAAAATCAGTGGCTGTGAGAAGGTAAGGAGGCATTGTGTCATTTCCTTCTATTGAGATTTGTAAGAAAACTTGTAAACTCTTGTGGATTATGCAGTAGATGAAAAATTTAAAGCAGCTATTTTTGTAAGATTGCATCTCAGCCATTTGTTTAGTTTCTTTCTGTTGCATGCTTTGTCAGCAAATTCATAACACTCCATAGCAGACATGCAGTGTAAACAGAGACTCAGGTAGCGTGAATTGTGCTGAAACCCCATTCTTGACACCACCTGGATGATGTGGATTGAGTCGTCTAAATCAACTACCCACTTCACATAACGATATTATGGAAATGAAGCACTTTCACTCAGCTGGAAAACCGCAGCATCAATTTCATGATTTTTGCCAAATCCACTTTGATTGACCTTGTCAGTCTTAAGAAGTCCTGGTCAGATGTAGAAGAGTCAAATGTATTGTAAAGGTCAGCCTACTTTGTCTTAACCACAACTTCATAAGAGAGCCTTCTAGTGCACAACTGTAATTTGTTTTCACTGCTCGCACCAGTGATTGCATTTCTGGTTAAAGTTACCAATTTGTACTGAATCGTGATAGCTTTGTGCTGAAAAGCATATTGTGCTCTGTGACCTTCTTAAACCCTATCAAACCTACCCCTCCGCTTAACAAGCAAGCTTCACGTCCCCTGCCTCACTGCCATAGGCGATTGAGCTTGCAACCAAACTGCCCCACTCTCTTGAACTCTATCCTGGGAGTCCCTTCACGTTGCCCCTTCCCTCGCCTCCTACAGATCCGTCTCAAGACCTTCCTCTTTGACCGCGCCCTGCTCATCTTCCCCTACTGAATCCAACCCTCAGGTTGGGTACAAACCCTCGACTGTCCGGCATCTTGTGATTTGTCCTGATGTATAAATGCAATTGTTGTCTAGCTAGAACTGCCCCTCTACCCCTCCAATTTCCACTGATGAACCAGACTGACTGGTCTGTCATAAACTTGTCCCTGGATTACTACAGACCTGCTTCACTCAGGAACTTGACTACCAAGATTGACTTGATTCCAACATTCAGTTGGCAAGCTTGTCACCTTGGAGCCTCCCGCCCCTGAGGATAATATTTTTGCATGAATGAAGAAGAACTCACAACTAACAAAATTTAGGTGAAATAGAAAGGCATTTGAGAGCTTAGGACATGATGTCCTAGTTTAGTGTAGAAAACGCTTTGAAATCTGATGTTGAATATGTGTGCATGTAGTGACTGACAATAAAAGTGGGTTAAATGTTCTTTCTGAAAATCTCTTTTTCCCATAAGTGGGATTTCATCAATAAAACATCAACCTATTCTTTAATAATTTAAAATTTCAAGCAAAGATTTGAGACTAACTTTTATGTTTCTATTTTAGACGCTGTTATGAATTTTTAGATTTGTTACTCCAAGAATGGCAAACACATTCATTAGAAAGGTAACAATGTCTTTGCATTAAACTAACTGTGGTTACACTTCAAAAAAAAGACTTGGACAGATGTCTCTATCTGCTTTCTGTTCAAAAAGCAGAAGTTTGGAGTCTTGTAGCTCAGTGGTTAGAGCACTCGCCTTGCAAGCGAGACACCTGGGTTCAATTCCTAAGTTCTGTTCAATTCCACACGCCTAATAATAATCCCTCCAAAAACAAAACAATAATAAATTGGTCATTTTCAATCCACGACTGTTTGTGGGACACTGCTGTGCGCAATTGGCTGCCGCATTTCGCCCACAAATATACAGTCAATTCACTTTACAGTCCATTCTGTGAAGTGCTTTGAGACGTCGAGAAGACGTGAAAAGCGCTATATCAAATGCAAGGATTATTATTATAAAATGCTGTGCATGAAAATATCATAAATGATAGTGCAATACAATCATTATTTAAATAGTCTCAATTATTTTAATCGATGGGATCCCAGTTGATGGAGAGGAACTATGTATATTCATATAGTTTGAATTGCTTTAATTGAACATCTGCTTTCAGAGAACCCTGATACTGTAGTCGATCAACTCCAGAAAACCACTGCATTGACAAGAATGTAGTAATTTTTTTCACAGTGTTGCAAAATGGGGAATTTGAGAGCATTTTTATACTTTCAACGCTCCCCACCTCACCCCCGCATCCTCAAAAAAAATCTTTATAGATATGAAACCATTCAAAGTCTGTGATGATCTAACAAAACAATTCAAATTCTGATTGTAAACTCCATGACAATTTTTTATCAAAGACTACTTGGTTTTGACCAAGACCACTTTCCTCCATCTTTGCAACATTGACAGCCTCCGCCACCTCACCCCCAACATAGCTGAAACCCTAATCGACATTTTCATCACCTCCAGACTTGACTTTTACGCGTTCTGAGACACTACCCTATAAGTGAAAGTTGTTGTTGCTGACTTTGCCAATGCACAGCTGCGCAGCTCCACACTCTCGCACTCTGCTCTCGAGCCCAGCCAAACGCAGCTCCACAACTCTCTATTCCCAATTGGATTGACTTCAATATCCTCATTGTTACTTTGTATGGTCTCCGTAACCTTGTCCCTCGCCCTCTATCTATGATCTTGTGCGTCCCTAGTACACTTTTTTGCACTGTTTAACTACTCTTGTCAATTCTACCCTGCTTCATACCCTCCACTTGCCATCCAGTTTCATTCTCTGCACCTAAGCTGAGCACAAATCTTTGCCAACACAACCAGGATGAATTACTTATCAGATAGGGAACAAATCCCTTTGATGTGCAATTCTTTGCTAAACTATTGTGTCCCAGTGTACATATTTGTGTATAGCAAATAAGTGTATTTATTTACATTATTGTTTTGTGTTAAGGTATCAACACAACTGACTATTTAAGTTCTCTGTTTTTGTTTAGACATGTTGCTGTTCTGGTTGACACCGTCAAGAAGGGCATTTCTGATGCTGATTCAGAAGCAAGAATAGAAGCAAGAAAGTATGGAACTGCTACACAGCTAAATTAATAATGGATATACTACTTGAAAAGAAAAAAAACTCCAAGGCTATGGAGAAACAGTGGTGGAGTGGGACTAATTCGATAGCTCTTTCAAAGTGCTGGCACAGGCACGATAGACCAAATGGCCTCCAGTACTGTGGGATTCTGTGATTCTATAACTTAACTATAAGCTGCAGCAGACCTGTGATAATCATTGAGTCTTCAAGTGGGTAAAATGTTGCAGTTTGTAGATGTATAATGCAATTTCAAGATCAAAATGCAAAATTAGAACTGTAATTATAATCTTACTGGTTTAAGACAGAACTATCATAAATATTTTGGTCGAGTAGTTGGAGGAAGATGAAGTAAAATGGCACTCCTTTAAACGTCAGTTTAATCCTCGCAATTTGACCACCTAACTCCACAAATGTGACCAATACTTTAGCACTCCCACTTATGCAAAATTTCCATGTTATAATTCTCCAAAACTGCATTTAATAGTCATTTGATTTAATTTGTGCTATTTAATTAATACAAAATTGGAAATATTTCACATTTAATTTATCTGATCTTAAATAGCACTGAACTAGTGACCCTGTGAAGTAAAGATGGACTGTTAGAGGAATCATTGAGTGGAAAAAGGCTGATGCTACATTTATACTATTGATAGTGAAGCATTATTGATCCGAGCAATAGAATGGCAATGAGAGAAAGGCCAGATTTATATTTCCTGCTCCATATCACATACAGACCACTAAAAAATGACACTCAGTTTCAGATTTCTAGATATGCATATGAATTGTTAATAACACTAAGAAGCAGTCTATTAAATAATTAATTTTGCCCACAAAATACACAGTCAATCTACTTTATAATATATTCTGTGAAGTGGTTTGAGATGTCTCAACGACATGATAAGGCACTATATGAAATGCAAAGATTAATATTAATGAAAGCTCTTGGACAGTTCTACAGATTGACAAACAGCCTTCAACAAATCATTGTGGAGCAAGTGCAGGTCTATTTGAATTTGCCTTATTTGTGCAGCAGTGGGTGTGAATTACACTACTCCTGAAATTACCTCTTTCAAATGGTGGCAAAAGCCAGTGTAATTTGTATTTCCTCAATCTGTTTATTCTACATGTTTAGTAATGAATTGCCACCAAATGCACATTATAAAGAGTATTGAAAAGTTTAAGAACATAATTGATTCTTTTACAAAACTTAGGCAAGTTTCCTAACTCCACACATCTCTGTTTACCTAGCAGTAAATAGAAACTCAATTGTTAGTCAATTGGCGGATCGCTTTCCAGGTGCAGTAATCCCTCTCCTCCCCCCAAAAATGTGGTCACTCAATCCACAACTGTTTGTGGGACACTGCTGTGCACAATTCGCCCACAAAATACAGTCAATCCACATTACAGTATATTCTGTGAAGCGCTTTGAAACGTCACAATTATTTGATAAGGCACTATATCAAATGCAAGTATTATTTTACAATTTAATATTTATTGTGTAATGCACACAATTTTTTGTTGCCATTGTATCTATTATTTGTTAGATGATACAATTAATACAATACCACAATGCTTTCAGATGAACCAGTTATTTGTCTTTTTAACCTCAAGTACCAAAATGTTTAATCTGTCATTTTTCTGAACAGAACTTATTGGAGCCTTAGAAACCACTTTCCTGGAGAAGCCGATGCATTGTATAACTCTCTGGAGCCTTCTTATCAAAAAGGATTTCAGACCCATCTGAAGAGCTCCACCAGTGCTGCATCTCTTCCTCAGTCCGATCGTTCTTCTTCCAGCTCTCAGGAGAGCCTCAAGTATGAATATATTTTCATTATTTGTGAACAACATGCTATTTATATTTAAATCACTATTTTGACTGTTCAAATAGCCCAGGAATCAAATGTGTCTTTTAAAAAAAAGTTCTTGTCAGATCATATTTTTTTCGTTATAGTTTGTGTGACAATTAAAATAAAAAAATAACAATTTAGTTACTTAATCCACAACTGTTTGTGGGACACTGCTGTGTGCAATTGGCTGCTGCGTTTCGCCCACAAAATATATATATAGATATATAATATATAGTCAATTCACTTTATAGCATATTCTGTGAGATGTCTCAATGAAGAGATAAGGCGATATGAAGAAATATCAAATGCAAGGATTATTATTATTATTTTTAGCTGTCAGTGTCTTCATGCTATCTGGGAAAGCATGTGGTGTATTTGCAATGCTCACATTTGAAATGTTAGCCCTAGCAAAAGTGTAAAAGTGAAAATGTTTTTTTCAAATGGCTTATTTGGCTAGTTGTTATTTATTTATTATATTTTTACTAATTAATTCTTCTGTGCATACGTGCGAAACAAGATAGGCAGAAGTCTACTGATCTGGAAGTTGTTTTACCCCAAGAGTCATCTTGTAGACCAGCTGTGCAGATGCACAGTGAATATAATCCACACTGCAGCCGCTTTATAATGCAATTCTTTAAAGCATATATTCAGTTATAATGATGCTGCACTGTATTGTGGAAAAAAATTAAGGATCGAACTTTCTTGGTGCCTTGACCAATTTTTCTTTCCCATCACCAAAATGTGGTCATTTATATTATTGGGACGTTGTTGTGAGCAAATTGGGTGTCACATTCACTTGCGAATGCACTGACACTACACTTGACAGTAAAATCCTGTGAAGCTCTTTAAGATATTTTGACATCATGATAAGGCACTATATCAAATGCAAGGATTATTATTGATATTGGTGTTCGTGGTTTCAGTCCAGATGTTAAATTTGCCAACAAAGTAATAATAATTTTGCAGGGTCAGGGTACATTTTTAAAAGTACTGTAGAATATGATTGGCAACTTGAATGACTTACATCGTTCTTTTTCCAGCCGCTCCTTTCCTCCCAAATGGTCAATCGCAAACCCTCCTGGAGGAGGTGCCTCAAGAGGTGAGTTTTCTATTTGAAAAATGTAAACATTTATGAATGCAAATTTCATTCTGTTAAGATATTGCATGAGAGGGAGGGAGGTTGGGAAGGGTATGGATATGGATGAGGGAAAAGGGATTTACCTTTCGGAAGGGGGCCTTGTGGCGATGGAGCTGTCGGGGTGGCTGCTCTCGGACAACCATCGATGATTTCTGCAATGGGCCTGCAGAGGATGCCCATGCTGGAGCAGTGGGAGGCAGGAGGAGAGAGAGAAGGCGAGGAGGGTGGTAGGAGAGAAGAACTGAATGCAAGTAGCAAAGGGTGGGAGGTAGAAGCTGGTGCATTTTGGAAGCGGGCTGCCAAGACTAGAAACAGCGATCAGTGGACCATAGTCATGTAGGCATGGAGGAGGCTAGAGGAAACAGCACAGAGGGGACTCGTAATTATATTTATTAGGTTAGACAAGAACCCAGAATTAGCTGTTAAACCTACTCTGGTCTGTCATTGTATTGGTGAATATCTGGGTAATTGTATTAGATCAACTTTTTTTGTCTTTTGTTGAGCCTTATCTGCTCAGCTTCAAAATCTTTATTTTATTCTTTCATTTCAGGAGCAAGTGCTAAAACTGCAGCCCCTACAGGGGGGTTGCAGCGTTCTCGAAGTGACATAGATGTTAATGCTGCTGCATCTGCAAAATCGCGGCATGGGACTGGACAGTCTGGAACAAGACGTTTAATTGCAGCAAATCTCCCTCAAGGATCGTATGCTTCACTAGGTAGGATTGATTAGTTCAGTCCAAGATTTTCAATAGCTATTTTCTTGCTCTAATTTTCAGTCATAATGGGAGATCAATCATCTCTTTCACAAAGAAAATATTGCAATGTTCTGAGGAGGAATTATCTATTTGAGTGTTTTTATATAGTGCTGCCTTTTTATAACCTGCTTCACCATAGTGTGAATTCACTTATAACGCAGATGTACTGTGAACCCTGTGCACTGCACATGCGCACAGTTGGCCTGTTCGCACTCAATTAGCTAACTTCCATGTCATTAGGTCACGTCCAACATCATTTGCTGTGTTCCTCTGCGTGTAAAAAGCAGAAAGTGATGTTGATGGGATCAAATGACCCAGAAATCAACCATTTTAGCTTCCCTCACAATGAAGCTGACTTCCAATCCATCAGGTCACAGGAAAGAGGAAAGTGACGTCAGCAGTTTCCCCCATGAATCGGAAGTCAACCCTTTTTTTTCCTGTAGCATGGGAACCGTCTGGTATGCAGGAAATGAAAATACGTGTGTTGTAAAACTTATTGAACCTCACGATAACACAGGGTAGGATTTTATGGATCCCAAATACTGCATTATCACAAAGCTGCACTGTATCAGCAAAATCATAACCAAATTTAAGTAATATGAAACATTTGAGGGAAGCTATTGTGTGTATGTATATTATATATCTATGTATTTGTGACAATTTGTAATGTCACATTGGTAGCGCCAGAATGCTTGAAAACAATATGGTGAGTTGTGAAGCCAACGAGCTACTTACAGAAAGTTTAAAGAATGCTTATCTTTTTGACTTTGTCTCATCTTCCTTGTATAGCCCTTTATAATGTTATATGCTGACTTTTGCCTTCTGACCTCCATCTGACTCAGTTACATTTGTACTTCAACTCAAGGAGAAAATGCTTTGAACAATACAGTCTATTTTATTATCATGAGGATTCTATAATTTGCATTTGATATAGCAAATACCAGGAGATGAGCGCTCAATTCAACTGGAGGATTATTGGCTGGGAAACCTCCTTTCTCTTTGAATTGTGTCATTGGTTCTTTAACGGCAACTGAACAGGCAATCAAGACTGGTTTAGCATCTCATCCGAAGGACAGCACCTCCAAAAATTCTGTGGTATTCAAATATTTAACTGGTATATTGTCTAATAATTACACCGTCACTGCAATTTACAGTGTATCCTTTAAAGAGCTTTGAGATGACCTTCCAATGTATAAGGTGCTATGTCAAATTGAAGGATTATTATTCTAACATAAACCAGGGATGGCCAACTTGCAGGCCACATTACGCGTATAGAAAATAGAATGATCAATAGCGCTTTGGAGAACACTGCAGCTCCCTACAATAGTGTGATGAGTTCAGTTACTGAGTGGGCTGTGAGTTCAAACCTGTTAGCTGCCATGCCATTGTATCTTATTGCTCCAACATGATGTGCTGCCCCACTTGTAGGTTTGTCATACTGATAGCCATTCTTCCTCCCCAGTAGTCGACTTGCACACTGACATTTTTTAAGGACTTAATGAAATATAATGAATCAGGCCAGTAAAGCCTGCGTATGAAGCCTTTATTAATAACAATTATAGAAAATGGGTAAGGTATTTTATAATTTCTTCACTTTCCCTCTAGATCTCCCCCAGTTACACACCACATCCAAACAAAGGATGCTGGGAGGCATCGCTTTCCCAGGCTTTTTGAATGGCCTGGTGGAAGGTATTCAAGAGCAGCTGTGAATCTCCCTCTCCCTCCCTTAAAGCGCCTTGGGACCTCCTCCCAACTTTAAAGGGCTTTGCAAATGTAATTTGTTGTTGTGGAGGTGAGACAATTAACCTGTGCTCTGCCGAGATCGTTCCTCAGCATCTGGAAATCACTGGTGTTAACCATTCTATGCACTGAGACCCCAGCACCTTGGGACATTCCCCCAACATGATAAATATATTATTGCAATTTGTTGTTGTTGTTGAAACACATACTGACTGATGTCAGTGTTAAGATTCAGAGTGAAATAATAATTAATGATGGAATACAATGCTGAAAACTGATTCAAAAAAAGAAAAAGGCACAAAAATAATCAAAACAGTGGATTTATCTATCAGGTAAATGCTTAACCCGATGCATGCTTAAGTGAATGTGAGTGCATGATCGATATCCTCATTCACTGGTCAGTTGTGCTATTTGCTACCAGTCTTGGTTTGTAGCCCTTGGCTTGAATTTTCACATTGAAAGCTATGTCATAAACTTAAGAAACTAGGATGAAAGTAACAAATTGTAGAAATATATATGTGTGTGTATTGGTAAAGGCACACTCAGTACTAAGCTTTGGGAAGTACTTTGAACAAAAGGTACTCCTCCTTGGCCTTCCTTCCCCTTGAAATATTCCAGTTCCCACTGAGGTTGGCAAGCTACGATAGGTGAATGAGGACTTATGCCATACTGTCATTTAATTGTGATTCAGATAATACACATTCTTGAAAATAGGATATACAGCATTTTACTTAACATTTTTCTTTTTGATTAAATGTTGTGCATTGTATCCTATCCTATTATTTCCAAAACAGTGTAATTTTGATCATTGTGGTGTAATTCATATCACCTGGTGGTATTGTGCATTTGAAATTTAACACACTAATTCTTTCCTGTTCTTTGCCTGCTTTATTGCAAAGATGATGCATCTGACAAGGCTGATGGTAAGAAAATTGCTTCTCTGTCTTTCAATAACCTGTTCTTAAATCTGAACTAATAACTTTTCATACATTTGTTGGTCCACGCTTTAGATATGACATTTAATGACTACATAAGTTTCTTAATCGGATTGTCAAGAAAAAGTAAAATCAACTGCGTTTCCAATGGGATATTTTGAGGAAAGTGTGAAGAAACAAACACTGTTCTCATTAAGTAGATGTTCCCATTAAGAGACAAATGTCCTAGTGTACTACATTTGTCATGTGTCAAGTTTAAAATTAGCTATAATTTTGGAATTATTTCTAGCAAGCTTCTAATCACCTCAAATATTTAACCAAGTTCATGTTTAATTTTCAGATAATCAATTGTAGAATTTAAAAAAAAACTTTTCAAATGCATCCATAATTCCATAAGCATTCACCAATAACTTCACAATTAAACTGCTGCCATAATTTATTATGTCTACTGTCATAGAATTTCTTCCAATTTAGTTGCACGTCTGAAATGGTAAGTTGTTTTAGAGGATTATTGCATTCCAATATAAAAGGTGTGCAGTGTTTTATGCAATTAATCTAGTGCTAACATGAATTTTACATTCTTTTAGAGGATAAAATTCTATAAACAACTTTGGCAATTGTTAATTTAAATGATTTGAAATTTTTAATAGGCCATCTATTCGTAGGGTACTTTTAACTTTAATAATCTTATCAGATGCCCTTATAATCTCAATAATCAAAATAAATGGTACTGTATTCTTGATAAACAATTAACTTAATTTTTAGTTGTCTTCCATATAACTGTGGGTATAGCTACGAATCAACAGTAGCAGTAATGCACCTTCTCCTTTTAAGAATTTGCTTCGAAACATCCATGAGCAATGTCAGAATATTGGATTAAGATTTGGCATTGGTTGTAACAAAGCCATTTCATGCTTGGAATTGTGCAAGGGTTTGTTTGCCTAAATTTACATCAACTTGCACATAACTGAATTCACATCTAAGTTTTCTAAAGCCTAGCCAGAAAGCAAAGAGAGAAGATGACATTTGAAGAATGATGATGAGTTAGCCACTACCCATTGTTTCATGCAATTTAATTTGTATTTATGCTAGTGGAGTGAAGTTGGCCAAATCATTATTAGCATCGTCCATCTGCTAAATAATCTACAAAATACATATCTTTCTGTTTCACATTGTTTCAGATAATTTGTTTAATATAATATTGATTCTGCTCAAGGTAAATTAGCTCTGGTCTGATCCATATTGGCGTACAGTTGAATGTCTTGCTTCTAATACCAACAGTGACTATTCTTCATAAATGAAATATGTTCATTTAGGTAGTATGTGTTGATGCAGTGGAGTCTTTCACATACCTATGGGTGCAGGAGCAATGGAACATTGTTGACAGTCATTTTGAAGCATGTCACTACAAGAGTGACGATAGATGGAGAAGATAAGATGTTCTGATTAATGACGTTGTTCATGTGCAGTTCCATGAGCCGACAGGTGCTGTGGATTTTGCTGCATAGCTTTGAGTGTTTCTAAATTATTGAAAGCAATTATAATTATTTTCTTTGTTTCCATGAGGAAATAATTTGTAATGTAGGTTCTTTTGGCCTAAAAACTGATAGGACCTTGAAACGATCTACTTGCAAGCTTAACCCTTCTATCAGTATTACTGCTTGATAGATAATCTGAGCAATTTTAAATTATTGTTTCTTTATTTAATCTGATTGAATTAGAATTAATTTAGAATTAGGATTAATTTTTAATTAGAATACAGTAATTTCTTAAACTAATGGATTTATTCAAGAACAATAGCAACAACAACAAAATTACATTTGTACAGCGCCTTTCACGTCGGGAGGACATCCCAAGGCGCTGTTCAGACAGAGTTTTGGATCTGAGCTGGGGTTCGGGGTCGGGGAGGGTGGAGGGCAGGGGGGGAAGCAGGGAGATCGAAAGCACAGTCGAAGAGGAGGTTCTTGAGATGGGTCTTGAAGATGGCAAGGAAGGGGGCGAGGCAGAGGGACTGTGGGTTGGAGTTCCAGAGCGTGGGGCAGAGTGGCAGAAGGCCCCCCCGCCATTAGTGGGGCGAGCGAGGTCAGAGATGTGAAGCAGGCCAGAGCCCACTGAGCGGAGGGAGCGAGCAGATGGTAGGGGGTTAGGAGGTCGCAGAGCTAGGGGGAGGAAGACCATGAAGGGCTTTGAAGGTAAGGAACAGGATCTTGAACTGCATCTTCTGTGTAATGGGATTCAAAACATTAACACTGAAGGCAAAAGAACATGGAATATATATACATTTTTAGGTGCAGTATTATGAGTAAGATTTGTTGAGGTGGAAACTTGGAATACAAAAAAAATATTCAAATGGCATTCAAATTCAAATATACTAATGGAAGGGATGTAACTTTGTTCAAAATGTTTGCTGATTTGTATGGGCACCGAGAAATAACTAGTGAGTGGAGCTGCTTATCAAGTCTGTCAGCAGCTACCTTTTGCTAACGTCTGGAAATCTTATTCCTACTAGGCCGCATTCGTAGTAGACAAGTGCTCTCAGGCGCTGCTGCTGGTGGTGATACAACTGATTCCAGAGGACGAAGTCGTACAAAAATGGTGTCTCAGTCCCAACGTATGTATCTGCTATGTTGTCACACAATGTGATTTGGACAATTTATATAGTCTTATAAATCAGGGGCTACAGCGAATATTGTTTTTGTGTTTATATACAGGAAGGAAAAGATTTTTCCATGCATTAATTATGTACTTGCCCTTTAAAAATGTTGAATGATCCACTAAGTTTTCAACAACTGTTCTATGCCTCAGGTTTAACAACATCTGAAGATACCAAAGGTATTTTGTTTTTTTTAACAATTTTGTTCATTTGGTTTTTTTGCACGTTCTGGTGATTTAAGTTGGCAAGGTGGTTTTGATTAAGTTTGTCACATTCCTTAAAGTAGTAGACAGCCATCAGTAACAAATAACTTAAGCACTGTTATAGCTCAATTTGGTTTAAGTGAGACTTACTGCAAACATTTCAAGTTTAAAACCAAAAATCTCCTTGGTTCTATGCGTAGCAAGAATTCACCACACGTTTAAGGCATTCTGTTTCTGCCTTCTGTGGACCAAAATGTTCATAGTTGTATCCTTTGCACATCTCATCTCTGTCTTATTTTTTTATTTTATACCTAATTCAAAACGCAGCATTGGATAGATATGTGCTGTTTGTCAATGTGTTTGAAACTTTCATCAAACTTAACAAAGAAAAAAAATGTTGCATTGCAGTTCAGATCATACTTCTCAACCTCCAATTTATGAAGGATAGCCTGAGTCTAACTGAGAATAACATTTTGCTCAATGAATGAAAACCATATATTTCAAAAGTAACTACGTCCTAAATGGCTTGTTAATGTCTCCTGAGAAATATCCTATTCCTAGTTCTTTCTCTTCTACCCCTCCTTGCTTGCCCAGGGCCAATACTATATCAGCTCCACTGCCCCATGCAACATTTTAAACAGAAGGTACATTCCTATGGAATTGTCTGTTTGGGGATTTGCAGTATTAGTCCGACGGAACCCCAGGATTGTACTGCCCACATTATAACAGTGGTGTCCTTGGATCCACACCAGTGAAGTACACCTGACTGTAGCCAAGTCAGGATAGTCAGGTGACTGTTAACCCCTTGAATGTGCTCTATACACGGAAGTTTCACAACATCATTTCGGGAAGGAAGTTGACCAAGAAGGTGGCCTTTTTTTAGGGCTTCACTGAGCCATTAGATGTAGACAACCACTTTATAATCTGATTCCCCTATTTGTGTCTTTGTCATAATGATTTCCATATTAACATTGCAATCATATACTTTGTATGTGATCACCTTCTATAAATTCTTGTAGATGTACTATGAAAAACTTGTGAGAAAAGTTTAGCATTCGTTAGTGCATTGTGAAATTGTCCTTTCCAATCTTACACTAAATGCAGTTGAAACCCTCAATTCTTCCTTTGTTACCTCCTCGGTTTCCTAAATGTACTCCTCATTTGTCCCCCAGTTATAGCATCCACAGGTTCCAGCTAATACAAAACTCCTGGCAGATTCACCAACAAAATCCCTTCATAGCCTAGCACCTCCCTATAACTATTATATTCTCCTACTCCACTCTTTTGCTTGCCACCCTCTGCTCCGCTAATTTGGGCCTGCTGCATATCACCCACTTTGTGCGCAACACAATAGGTGGTCGAGCCTTCAACAACTGTGCCCCTGACCTCAGGAACTCCATCCCAATATCTCTTCATCTCACACTTCAAATTCCACCTAAAAACTACACTTCCAGCTTGCTTAGCCACCTTCCCCTCCTCCCTTACTTACCATCCAACATCATTATTTTGAAAGGTGCTATATAAATGCAAGTTGTTTTAAGTTACTTGTTTAGTGTTCCATAAATCCATTCTTGGTTAATAGATCCATTTTATGCAGGAACATTTCATCACTTTCAACTACATGCTGAGAATTAGATATTTTAAAACTGTGACATGTGATCCTATGCGTGAATATTATTTTAGATTATTTTCATATTAATTTTTTAATTGTCTGCTCTATCTACCATTGATTTGCTGGCTATTTGAGCAGCTGACTACTACTTTAATTTATTTGCTCTTATTTTCAAATAATTTTTAAAGATCATCCTGTTTTGGAATTTGCTTGTGTTTTAATGCTGCAACCTTTAGTTTTGTGCAGAAAGCTTTTTNAAAAAAACATTGCAGGTAGAACAAAATCTAATATAACTTTAACATTTACATATTGATTTTGACATCTCCATGTTACTGGCCAAAGGCATAAAGCTTGCAATTTAGTGATAGTTTTCCATCAGAGAATGAATTTGAAAACTTTGATTTGCACCCTTATACAGTAGTGATTTCAAGAAATTTAAGAGGCAGTTTATTTAAGAGGCAGATTAAATCAAGTGTAACTAGACAAATATAGAGCTCTGATATAAAATGAACCTGGTAATTATAAACTGTTTTCTCTCTGTTAAAAGCTACATTTCAGATGATAAACAACCTATGTTAAATTACTAGAAATATCTGGCATACATTTTATATTTTTGGCTAATCTAAATGATGCACTTAACATAATCACAGGAATCACAAATTTAGTGCATTATCCAAACTCTCTTCCTTCCCATTTTTCTTCATGGGCATTCTTCATGAACCAACCTGCAGCAGAAGAGAGCAAATCTCCAATTATTGTATCACTGCGTAATTTCAGTATCACTTTATTCTTGCTGACTGGAGATGCAATTGCTGTGATAAAGTCTTAATCCCATCTCTTATTGGGGAATCTGTTACTTGAATTGTCAAAAACATATTCCAAGTGTGTTTGACAGCTTTCAGCACAAGGCAGTTGTGAGACAGAGTTGTCAAACAAATAGAGTCGTGGCTTGCCCATTTCTGCTGATTATCATTGTAAACATGATCCTAGTGTACTAAAATGATCCATATTGTATATTTATTCATAATTGCATCATTTTGTTTTTATTCTGCTCTATGATTTCTTGACTTGCTTTGCGTATTACTTGGTATGAATTTTATTTCCTGTGTTTTCAGTTGCAAGCTTCTATGCATCTTCACCGAGGATTAAAACAAAGCATCTGCTTATCCATGGTTTTTAACTGCAGTTAATATTATATAGTAATACTTGGCTATAAATGTCACCTGCTTATACATCTTACTTTCATTGCTTTATATTAGTGTCTGATTTTAAGAGTTCTTGTGCTTCAAAGCCATAGAAGCTGCTTTGGTGCAAACCACTTGTTTTATTTCTATGAACTGACCAAAGCTTGTTTTCTCCATTTGCCATTCATTTAAATCTGCTGTGTTCCTTCCCTCCATATGGATTTTCCAAACCAAACAAAACAAAAAAATCCCTAATCCTGCCTTTACACTTGTTCAGGATCACAGTCAGCCAATCCCAATGGTGGTAAGACTCTATGGACTTTAGATGTGTTGTCTGTGATGTGCTCATCATTTTCATGCACTCTACTGTAGTTAGAGAAGGATGATTCCCCCCAGGACCACAAAACTGTATAATAATAATCATTGCATTTGATACAGCATCTTATCAGGTCATTGAGACGTCTCAAAGCGCTTCACAGAACATATTGTAAAGTGGATTGACTGTGTATAAATACATGAGTTTTTTTTATCATTTCTTGTAATACAAAACTCTTTTTTTTCACAAATACTGTAATTAATTATAATTTAGAACTAGCAGTGAACCACAATGTGGAATAATATTAGTAGTTAGAAGTATTGCGCTCTTCCAGGAACAGTTTAGTAATTGATGTACTCTTCCTTATATTAATCTTCTATTCATTTACGTTCACTTTCAAATAAATGGTATAGAAATCCTGCGATGGATCTAGCATTGAAAGTGATGCATGAAATTTAGAGAGATGGTTAAGGCATCATTTCAATACCACTCACCATTCAATTAGTTACATTTGGAGTATTGAACTAAACAGTTAATGAAAGTGATTGGTTGTGTTCATTTCTTTCAAAATGTGTAATTCCTTGTATTTAAATAATAAGGGACCTCTGACTCTGAAAATGACTTGTTACTTGGTAAATCTTAAAGGAATTTGATTCTTAATGAAATTTGATGATTTAAGTTTAACTCTATGAATGTACCTTGAGTAATAGAACAAATGGACAAGCTGGTGCAATGTTACAAGGGCACAGTAGTTGGACTTGCTCAAACAGATAAACTTCTCTTAAATTGAATACTTTGCTTAGTTTTGCCATAACCTTTGGACACTTTACCATATTCACATGACTTTTTAGTAGAGACTCTTCTAAAGAGTAAGAAAACACAAATCTTGACTGGTATCAGTGCCAAGTATCTGGTTATGTTTACCTATCCTTTTATCTGCTTTGAATAACAACTGTGTAGAAATATTGGGGGTATCACTTTCTTCTTCGGATTTCAGCTGCCAGCCGCTCTGGTTCTCCCGGAAGGGTGCTGACTAGCACTGCACTTTCAACTGTGAGCAGTGCAACACAGCGAGTGATGCCTACAGGAGGTCCAGTGCAGAAGCGCAGTAAGATTCCACGTAGTCAAGGGTGTAGTAGAGAAGCAAGCCCCTCTCGATTGACTTTAGGTAAGAAATTTTCAACACGTCTTTTGCCTTTAATAGTTTATAATTTTTTGAAACCGCATAATTTTGGCTGAAGTGCAAAAAATGTAGGAAGTGTCATCTCCAACAAATTAACACACTTATGCTTTTACAGTCAATTCTATGAAATAGAGTATAAGTCCAGTTTGTTGCTTGTCGTGTCAGCTGCCGAAACTCCCTTCAAAAGTTGATTTTCAAAAGGTAAATGGTTTGCACCCTGCTAAGATGTTTTCCTCTTAAATTTTTGGATCCCTATTCTTTTGATTCTTCAACTAACAATGCACTGTCGAATTATACTATGTTGATACTGAATGATCACAAAATTCCTGAAACAGCTTGGAAGAGGGGGTTTCAAGACTAATGCGATTTTTACATGGGAGGTGTAAATTGCGACAGCCTTACTGGCACACCTTTTCATAGCTCTGACAATCTGTTGAACTATTGCAAACATTCATTAATAAAGGGAAAGTCACATGATCATCTCTTACCATCTTTGAAAATCAAACAGCCAATTTTGGCGAAGACTTTTTTGGCCTATGTAAAAGCAATGTGAACAAGACAACATAAAGTCTTCTCATTTCACATGTTATATACCTGGCAGTATAAATAAACCACAACTTTAATAGTGCTGATTGCAGAGAGAATAAATATTTTATTCCCAGGTGAATGATTAATTTCAAATCCTTTAATATAATAAACAAGCTCAATTGAGTCTTGATTTGAATGTAGGATCTGATTTTTCTCATACCCGACCACTGGACTGTTTTTAACTTCTTTTAGTACAAATGTGCTGGTTTGGTTGTTTAGACTGATTATGAAAGTAATATAACATTTGCTTGGTAGTAGTTGTTGTTATCAGAGAATGGTATTACAGATTGCAAGGAACACCAAACAATTGTTTAATCTACCTACCTACATACCCACCCACCCACCTACCTACATACCACCCATCCACCCACCTACCTACATACCCACCTACCTATCTAACTACTAATAAAACGACAATGTCTGTCTCCGCTTCATGAAGGATCTTAATAACCGATTGATGTAGAGACATGTTTTATACCTTATCGGAAAGGTCTTGCATCTGGGAGTGACATGAGCATATTTGTTTTCAGGTAGCTCCTATCATTCACGAGTTATTTTCAGTTTTACATTTTTCACTTCAGTTACACCTGATGGCCACTGAGTCAAAGTAGCACTGTGGCCCATCCGTCAAAGAGCACATACGTGCACACTGCAATTACACCTGGTGGTCTTGATGGCTGACCATGGCGCTGTGGCATCCTGCATCACAAGGCACATACGTAGCCAAGCAGCGGGAACAAAATGAACACAAACAAAGCTAAGCCGCGGAACAAAAACAAAATTACATTTTTAAATCGCTGAGTCTTCCCACTGAGTCCTCCCAAAAGGAATCCTCCCACAGGAGTCCTCCCAGATGAGTATAGATAAAGATGAAATGTCTGTCTGTGTGTCAGTTTACATTCCATATTGGATCCTTTGGTTGCAAGCCAAGCTGCAACAGGTACAGGTACAGCTAGGTTTTATAATAGTTTTTGTTGTTGGCCACACCTTCACCACACTTAATAACTTACACTGCCGTCAACGTAGTCTTCGTTCAACAAGTGAGAACGAAGTTAAATATAGAGTCATGATCAATAATAGCAAATTGTTGGACAGCATATTTTAAGTGCAAGAAACAAAAAACAGAATGCCAGAAATCTGAAATAAAACACAAAACACTGGAAATACAGGTACATCAGCATCTGGAAAAGAAAGATTTATTTCTGGTTGAAACTGAGTTAGAAATGCTGATCAAGGATGACCTTAAACATTCTCTCTCAGATGCTCATTAACCTGCAGTGCATTTCCAGGATTTTCTCTTAAATGGGAATTTTAGAACTCAGATGACATGACTATAGCTGTGACAAATTTGTGTGGAGTCCTTAAAGCTTTAGTTATAACTCATCAAAAGCTTCAGGCAACACTGAATTTGTGCCGAGTGGATGCAACAATCTGGCTAGATAAACCAATAAAGGTTGTAGACAGTAATGCTTTTCAATATGCCACATTGGCATCAAGTGCATGATAAATGCAATGCGTTTAGAATACCAAACTTTGTTGCTGTTTATATGGAGCTTGTAATGCAAATAACAGAACTGGCTTTTCAGTGCTGCAATCACTTTGGCCTCCAATCTCTGAAACCTGGTGATCAAACTTTAGTTCACAATTATTTGGGTGGTTTCACAGTTGATATATTGTTGCTTGTCCTTTACTCCATTAAATTATTCTGTTTCATTTTCTTTTGTCACTTTTGTACTTCAGTATTTCTTTCATCATTTAGAGCAGTTTTGGCCAACCTCAGTAGCTACTGTAAACAAAATATTTAACACAGACTTACCCAGACTAGTGCAAATGTTCAGTGGGCTGCTTCTTGACATCCCTGCGGACCAAAAATGACCCGAGAGCCATGAGTTGGCTGCACTGATTTTGAGGTACTTAATCTTAGCCATGTGTGCACTTTCAGCTGGGTTAGAACCATTTGATAACGTTTAGATTGATTTAATCTGAGCTGAGGTCCATGAATGGGAGCGACTGCTCTTGGATGCTACTAAATGTAGATGTAGTGTAGATTTAGATGTAAGTGTAGATCCTAAGTGATTGAAGGTGGTTGTAAATTAAGGAATCGCAAAGATGACCTTTAAATGGGGAGTAGGTTGTCAGAAAGCTCACCAGCTGTATTTTTCCTGGGAATTGCATTTCTGATTACTTTATTATTATTATTATTATTGATTGATTGATTAATTACTTCATTGAATTGTCAATTTTCTTCTTCTATTTTTCTGTTTGAACATGATTTATATAAATCATCATGTAAATTAATTTGACAAAGTGTATTTAATACCAAGTAATTTTGCATGCAGTATTCCTCATTAATATTGGTCCATGATATGTATACTTCTGGAAATACATTTTTTGATACCTATATATGGCACAAAATCACCAGATTTTTCTGTTAGTTGTGGATACCTCCCCAATGTTTTACGATCTTATTATTAAAGTAACAGCTACTATTAAATGAAATTATTTTCCCTCTGATGTTAACCTTTGTGGTAATTGGTTACCACTTCAGAACAGAATAGGAGTATTCAGGTAAGGTGACAGAATTTGTGAACCATTGCATTCTGATGTATCTTTGACTGCAAGAAGTAAAAGCAAACTGGAGGTGGCTTTTAATGTACCCTACAGATTTGAATAATGCCTGGGGTCCATTGAAGTGATGTAGGGAGGGGAGAGATGCAGCATATTTTGCCTTGATATAATCAATCCCCATTGGCTTTGTTCCTACACTGAGCTCACCAAGCATTTACCACCAGTGGTATGAAAAAAACAATACGTTGAATACCCATCCCCCAAAAGATCATATTTACACGAACAAAGAAGGTGAGATCATTGATATTTCAGGTTGGAAAATGCCTGTTATTTTTTAAGTGAGCGAGTGTTTGGAAAAAAGTAAATTTGGGTTTGTTTATTTATTTTTGACCTGATCCCTGCTAGTTCGGGGCAGCCGCATCCCTCGACCTAGTATGAGTCAGGGCTGCAGCCGGGATGCAAGCCGTGAGAGCAGCAGGGACACCAGTCCTGTTCGGTCCTTTACTCCACTTGGTAAGTACAAGGAACCAATACATAGTGCATGGCTACCCATTTTCCTCCGTTGCCACCCAGCTAATGGTCCTGTTTGGCTGCATTGTCCTTTTCCATTTATCATTCCTGTAGAACAGTCTCTCTTCATTCATCTTTCAACAAGCTGCACAGTTGCATGTGTCACCTGATTTATGTTTATAAACCATTTAGTTCAGTTGGAATTTACTGCATGCTGTGGAGTATTTGGTAGCTGCTTGTAGTTCAAACATTAGTTGAATGCTTTCCAGTCCAGAATTTCTCACGCTCAAACTCAGGTGAGAAATTGTTCTTGTTGCAAATGTAGTGACTTTGAAGTTGTGCACTCGTGTCATTTTTCTGTTTCGTTGCATATAAGTCACTACATTTTGCTGCAGGAAAAATGATTTGTCAATGAAAACTATTATCCAAAATTACTCTTAAGTCGGTTTAACTTAGTTGTTAAATTGAAATACTAAATATTTCCGGCTTTAAAATCGTTCACAAAAAAAGCAGAATAATTTTAAAAAATCAATATAACTATTTTTTGAGTCAATTTATTTCTCTAATAGTAATAAATGGGAAAGTCGCTCTTGTCATCTGTATTTTTTGATACTGAATAATAAATTGATCACTAGTACCACAGATTCAGTTGCAAAAGCCTAGAATCACAGAATTAAGATTTTCCAATGTTTGTGCATATGTTGTTGGACACATGGAAATGTTGAGCAAAACGTCCTTGCCATTTTAATTGATAAAAATCAAGAAACATTTTGAGCTATTGCTGCTACAGGGAAGATTCTTGAAAAGCTACAGTACTTCAAGAATTTTGCAATCCACCAATTTTCCTCCTCCCACCAGCAGCAAATCCCGATGACCTTATTTTCACTTACAAAGCACATGACAAGAGCTATTTTTCCATTTATTACTATTAGAGAAATAAATTGACTCAAAAAATAGTTATATTGATGTTTTAAAATTATTCTGATCAATAAGGATTTAATTGGCCTGGTGTTGGATACAGAGCTATCATACTTTATATATTAAGGTAATCTCTGAACTCACTTGTATCTTTGATGTCGAAAGCTCCAATTTTTTTAAGTTCATTTCATCTCAAGTACAATTCCCATTTCTTGTTTTGATCTATTATTGGGTTTACTTGATATTCAAATAGTGGAACTGGAAGGGATTTAACAAATGCCATTGCCTTGAAGTGAGTTGTTACCTCTGTTGTGTTGATAACATTTATGGAAATTGTGCATCACGGTGCTGCTTAATTCAGTGAGTGTGTGCACAACATACTGTTATAGGTAAGTGATTTAGGGTACTCTACCATGTTCACTGACTTTGATACACACACTGTAAAGGATATTGGGCTTCCAAGTAATTTCTATGGATATGAAAGACCACAAGAGATGTCAAAATTTGCATTAGATCTTAGACAAAGCTTTTTTTTTTAAAAGTTCTAACTGTAGATTGAATTATTTAATACACAACTTCTTTTGATTATTTGACTTATGTTCAATCTTATATTTTTTAACAAGATTATCTCTCAGAGCAAGTCCTGGACAAATTGGGTCAATTGTTTTGCTTGCTTCCCTCCCACTCTTATAAAGTCTTGAACATTGATTTTGATTAAACTCAACATATAATAGGGGAGGTCTTCATGTTGAACTTCATTTTGGGGTGTTCAACTTGCATATCAATGTGAATTTGTTTTTTGCACAACGTAAAATTTAAAAGTGTAATTTTTTATTTTACACAAGATAGAAAGTAAACCCACAGCAGTTCAATGCTTTCATATGTGCAACGGCAATAAAACAAAGGGACACAGATTCAGAGTTGTGAACTGCAAAATTAGGACATTCACAGGAAGTACTCAGTGCATCACCATCCATGGTTGCACACTCCACCTTGCTAAGCCAGTCCGGAACCTTGGGGTCTTGTTTGACCCTCAATTATCCTTTCTACCCCATATCTGCCCCATGACCCGCTCTGCCTTCCCCCACCTCCGCAACATCGTTCGGCTCCGACACTGTCTCACACCGCAGGCTGCTGAAACCCTCGTACATGCCTTCATTACATCGAGGCTCCACTATGCAAACTCATTGCTTGTCGGCCTCCACAACTCCTCCCTCTATAGGCTGCAGATCATCCAGAACTCTGCAGCCCGTGTCCTCTCCCGCACCAGGCTCCGCAACCCTTTCAAGATCCTGGTCCTCACCTTCAAAGCCCTCCACGATCTTGCTCCCCCCTATCTCTCCGACTTCCTAACCCCCTACCATCCTGTTCGCTCCCTCCGCTCAGCGGGCTCCGGCCTGCTTCACATCCCCCACCTTGCTCGCCCCAGTATTGGCGGGCGGGCTTCCACCACTCTTCCCCCACCCTGTGGAACTCCATCCCGCAGTCCCTCCACCTCATCCCCTCCCTCGCACCTTCAAGACCCACCTCAAGACCCTCCTCTTCGATCTCCCTGCTTCCCCCCCTGCCCCCCCCCCCCAGCTCAGGTCCGTAACTCTGTCAAATGTGATTTTGTTGTTGTTGTACTGTATTTATTTACACAGAAGGTAATGAACAGCTGGAATTACCATAGATTACCATAGATTCATGGATAGTTGAGGTGAGACAACAGCGCTTATTTTAAGAAAAACTGATGAAGCTTAAAGATGGTAAGATTGTTTTTCTGAAAAAAATGAGCATTCAAATAGTCCGAATCACCTTATTCGTTCAAACCACTCTTGTGACAGTTGAACTTTTTCAGCACAATGCATACGCAATTTCAATGAGCCAGAAAGAGGAGCTGTTTATCGATGGTTGAATGTTATATTGAATTTACAGAAACCAATGTGTAGAACTGTGAAGATTTCACTTTAGTATTTGAGCCCTTCAGTGGAGTAAACAATGCTGTTGTAGAAACATAGTATTTGATGAAATTGCTTGGTGTTGGGGCCAGTTAGCAGACATGATCTTCCAAACTTTTGGACATATTGTTCATTGAAACACAAGCTTTTGCTTTTAATTTTATTTCTGGATTTCCATTTAGTCGATGAGATTGCTAATCGCAAGGCCATTGCCAATATATCACGTCTGGATGTTTGTGCTGATGTGGTGAGGCTGACATTCATATTTTGACCAGTCTAGTGATGTTACAGTTTAGGGGACAAGTGAAAGCAGTATGAACAGTACTGAGCCATTGCCCCAGATATGTGTTGAGTGTCTATGGTGGCTCAGCCTACCTAGATCAGAGCCATTAAAATGCCTGTTCATCTTCCATGAGAGCAAGAACTTTGGCAAAGCTTTGTTTCTGTACTGAGGAGAAGGAGGATGCTGACATCACATCAACTGCCTGTGATCAATATTTATCAAGAGTACCAGCAATTTACTGTTTCACAGACAGTGGTGTGTGTATAGTAAGGAGTGAAGTTTATTTTCACACATTGCCTGCATAATGCAAAAGGGAGCCATTAGCCAAGATGTTCATAAATTATTATTCAGCTAAGATGGTATGTCACGGAGTTGCAGTGTTTTGGTTATGCCATTAATTTTATTCATAAACAATTTCATTTCTCTTAGTGGGGAGGAGAAGAGAAGGGGTTAAATTGTGCAGAGCTGTAAATATCCTTAAGATGAGGTTCAGGGCAGAAATTGGCCATCTATGTCTCTCAGTGGATTGTGTTTTTAATGTTGGAAACGGAGCTAGATCAAATTAGTTTGAAGATAAAATTATAATTGTTGACTGAATGCTGCATTTTTGTTGCAAATTGCGGATTGAATACCAGTATCATATCATTGGTAACATTAATAGTAGCTTGTATTCGCTGCAAAAGATTTTGAAATCTTAAAAATTGTGCAACAAAATATTGTGGTTTTAAACAGATAAGTATTAGTTTTAATCTTATAATATCCACCTCTGAGAGAAGTTTCATTTTTGCAATCAAAAAACTTCAGGAGAGAGATGTATGAGGAGAAATTCCACCTGTGTCTGGGTTTCCTCTGTTGACATCATAGTGTTCAGTATTTGGCAAATTCTTAAATACAGCCTTACCTTTCAAGCCTTTTAAGAACTACAGGAAAATAATATCAGAATTAAACAACTAAAATCAACTGTTCGTCTCATTCTGAATGATTTGAAATGCTACATAAATAGAGTGATTCTGGATCCAGGTGAAATTTCTCCCTAATGGCTTGCTGGCTATGTTGTACGTTCAGATGACAAAAGTAGTGTTAATGCAAACATTCTGCAATTTTATAAACTGTATTTTGTCTTAACTGATTATACCAAATTGATAGGTCCCTCTCCTGCTCTTGGATCCCCCCCTCCAACCCCCAGCTCCCCAGGCTTAACATTCAAAGTAATGTTTGTCCATAATTTCATGGTAATAGACTAGGTTTGTATCATCCTATAATTACAGCTTCCAGACATCAATCCAGATCAACCGGTGCCCTCTACACTACAGATACTTACGGGGCTTCAGGTGAAGGATGGTATAATGGCATGCCAACGTTGTATCGGCAATTTGACCACTTCATCTGTTTTTTTTGTTGGCATGTTCAAAAATTGGTTTCCACAAGAAACATTTTTTGTCATCTTTCACTTTGGCCCTCAATTCATTAAAACATACTTTACAGTGTTGTTTAAATGTACTTATTGCTGTAGGAATGTCTATTAATAAATCGCTTATATTAATGAATTAGATTTCCTGCATGGAAAACTTGGGGGATGGTGGGAGGAAGGAAGCTATACTGAAATGAGTATGAGGGAGGGTGCTAGTAGGATTATTCAGATATGGAAACAGCTTAAATAGATTTGGATTGAGAACAGTCAAAAAGGCACAAGCTGTTGGGTCACATTTTATTTTTCGGTCGAAAAAATTGTTGCGTTCATGTACAATTAGAGAAAATAATGAAGCCAAGTATAAATCCATAGAAGAAGTATTAAGAGGTATAAGCTGTTAGTTGTACTTGAGAAAGACATGAACAAGCTGCATCTTAAAATTGAAAGAAACCAGATTTTCAAAAATCCATCAAAGAGAGTGAAGGGGATCAAAGCTCTGTAATTTCAGCCTTGTGCTGGGAGTAAAACATGCATAGGAATTAGAAACTGGGTAAATGAAAGCAAGCAGAGTCATCATAAGGAGAACTGGGGCAAAATGGGAGATGGCGGAAGAGAGTTATTTAGTAAGTGTTCTCTACTGGGACCTTTTTTTGCGATGAACTTGATTTGCAGACTCTGTGCCAGGTGCCTAAATTTGCAAATTACACCAATTCAGAGAAATTGTGGAATCAAAGATCTTAAAAGAAAATTCAATAAGATCTTCACATGATCAATCACTGGCAAATGGAGTTTAATACAGATCACAAAACTCCAGAAGTGATATGGATGAAGAAGGTTCTTCAGCCTATTTAATTCCATCCTTCCAGAATGGCCACTCTAAATTATCTTGGCATTGCAGCATCAGGTTGTTTATTAAAGGAGTCCAACGTTCTTCTCTTCTCAGCTGCGGCTCCGACCTCCTTAACCTCCAATACAAGCCCTTAGACTCACCAAACTGTGGGCAACCTAGGCATCAGGTTTGATCCTCAGCTGTCCTTCCTTATCCACATCCAATCCATGACCAGGACAGCTTTCCTCCACTGCGTCACATTGCCCGCCTCAGTCCATACCTCACACCCAACACAGCTGAAGCTCTCGTTCATGCATTTGTCACCTCGCTTAGCCACGGTACAAAGAAATACTTATGAGTGTATGAACTGAAATTGTTCTTCTTAAACCTGAATCTGTCCTCTTGTCTTCCTGCCTTGGCATATTGAAATGATGATTTATTTACCTTCTTAATCTCATTTTAGCATCTTATATAACTATACTGTTTTTTCTGACTCATCTCTTTTCATGGGCAAGGAGCCCTTGTTTAAGTTACTGCATGTAGACAGTAATAATAGGCGGAACACATTCACCAGATCAAATCAGTTTTAAATGACAGTTAACCAGGCAAACAGTTGATTTATTGCTAAATCAATTGAATTCAGATCCTCTGAAGTCATGCTCAAGCTATACAATGTTCTAATCAACCCACACCTTGAATACTGAGTACAGTTCTTGTCATCGCAAAACAAGAAACCTGCTCAGGCCCTGAAGGCAGTGAACAAGAGAGCAACAAGAATGATCCAGTTTTGAGGAATGACCTGTGAGGAAAACCTAGACAAGCCATTGATCGTCAACCTTCAAAACAGACATAATATGTCTGAGATCATATAGAGGAATCTAAGATGCTAAAGGAGATTGAGAAAGTAAATTCAGAGATGCCAAGACAACAGGACAAGATGAAACAAGTTCAGGGTTGGGAAGGGTAATTTCAGGACAGACACCAAAAAGTATTTCTGTGTGCTTAGGGTAATTAACAGCTGGAATAAGTTACAAGAAAGGGTGGTAGAGACAAGAAATCTGGAATTAAGAAACTTGCTTGATACCGTTATGGAACACAAATACATTCGGGTGTACTTTTAAGGATGAGATCAAATGGGCCCAAATGCCTTTTTCATCTCAACCTCTAGTGAGAAGAATGAAGGTCATGTGCAATGCAAGAAGGTGATCTGAAAGAAGCTGATAACTGTTAAGTGGAATCAACAAAAAAGTGAAACTTTGTTACATCTCATACCAATGACCTCCTTCATTTATCAACAGAGTGGTACAAAGAGGATAATAGCCCTGGCAAACCCGGAAATTGACAGAAGAAATGGAAAGCAAAAATATAGATTTTATAAAGTATTGCTGATGATGTAGTTAGGAATAGAAACAAAGAAGCAAGCCACTTTCTAGATTAGTACAATGTAAAGATCCGCTGATTACGGTTGCATTTATACCATTTTCTGCAGCGTATGACATTTAAAGTAACACTGTTATTTGTAAATTGGTAAGGAGCAATATTCATTTTCCATTTTGTATGTTTACCTGTAGTATCCATATTTATCAGAATCCATTATGCATGTGCACTTTTTTTTCCTCTGTTGGATCATTCTTCTGACCTAATGGGTACACATTAGTTAGTTTTCACTGTTTTTATTTCAGACTTTAACACTTGGATTATTGGTGTTTAAGTTGCATTTATTTCTCAACGATTAATTATTAGGATCCGATCGCTTTGGGTTTAATCAGTCTAGCCGACTGTCTGCATCGGTGAGCGCCATGCGAGTTCTCAACACAGGATCTGACGTAGAGGAAGCTGTGGCAGATGCATTGGTATGTTTTGTTGAGTTTATAGCAAATACATTTAGATATTGTGATGAATGTCATGATGGAAAATGGTTGCTCTTCATTTATTATCCTCCACATGCCCAAGAGTAGCTCAGTCTTTGCATCAGAAAAATACAGCAAAAGAATTCCTACAGATTGTGCCTCTAAACTCCTACAAAGTCAGCAGTTTCAAGAGCTGCAACCAGTCGCTAACCAGACACAGTTTTACTGTTTTGCAAAATCACTAGTTTACAAAAGGTGGTTATAATAGAATCTCATGATGTGAATTGCAATATGTGACAATTATCACATCACAGAAAATTCCACCTGGTTGATGTCTGCAATATCTATCATCTCCCCCTCCAATTGTGTCTGTGGTTGGGCGCAATGCCATCTTTGCCTGTGATTTTGCTGTTCACCGATAGAGAATAGCATTGTGCCTATTTCTGGAATTCTGGCTTAACAAAACAGAAGTAGGTTGTTATCGCAGGAATCAGCACTAAAATTCCTCACTCTAGGATCCGGCTTTGGGACCAACAATTTTAAAGAAGTCTGGCTGAAATAAAGGGTGTTTTTTCGTGTGCGTGTTAACGGGGCTTGCTACATAAATTGGATAATTTGCTTCAGAAATAAGAATCCTTGTCTCCTAAGACATTGAATTTAACAAAGCATGTTATTTGAACTATTTAGCTGGACCAATGTATTTGTGTATTATCAATTGTTAGGGAGAAGACAAATTTCATAAGGGCTAAAGAACATACAAACTATAGTGTATATTGGGATAGACTTTGCAGTTGAGCATTATTAACCCAAAGATGTTATTTTGAAGTTTATTCTTCTGTGGTTGACATAAGGTTTGGTATAATCGTACACCAGCCTTTTTGAGTGGTGCTATATGTGGTCATATATATGACCTTTCAGATCCTATCTTATCTTAGTGCATTTTGTTTGTGTATTTTTGCTGCTTCTCTGCTGTTGGTCTGGCTTACATCAGCATGCTCTGTAACCATGATTTTAAAATAATACATAGTATTAACAAATCGAGTCTGATTCTTCTCAATTTTTCTCTCCAAAAATTGCCATCAGCTCCTAGGAGACATACGGAGTAAGGTAGAGATACTCTTCCTTCCAAGAATGTTTTCATTAGAAAGTTGTGTGTGGTGCTGTGGTGCTGAACGCATCTGGCTGCAATTTTTACAATCAGCATAAACCAGTTTAACATAGTAATTTGATCAATATTGTTATGTAATTTAACTTACTGCTTTGAAAGCAGCCCTCCTATTTATTTTGGGTTTGTGGGAGCCAGCATGTATTTTTCTCCCCAATCCCTTAGTAACTTCAGGTCATGCAGCACATGCAAACGAGAGAGCCATATCGGTGATCTTCTTAGATGTCCCTTAATGATGCTGTGAACTGCCACCAAGAGGTGCATAACAAGAAGCCTGGGATGATTTCCCTCTTATTTTATCTATGCTTCTGAAAATTTTAATCCCAGCTTTGCTAGTTTTGTGCATTAAAGTAGTTATTTCGCCAATGTGCAGCATCACTGCATTGCTTAAGGCATGCCTTTCTTTATTTTATCACTTGATTATAATAGATGGATACATCAAAATCACTGAACGTTGATTTCCTGAATTTCTAGCAAATGTCAAGGTGGTTTATGGAGAATTGAGGCCGTGGTCTATGAATATTCTGAGGCCTCTGTCAATTGAATATTCATCTCCATTCAGCCTTTTGGCTGGAGAATGATGGAGGATATGGTGGGCGACTAAAAGGGAGAGAAAATAACTTTAATGTGGGAAGACAAAAGAAAGCTGCAGGACCTTGAATTTGTGATATGATATTTAGAACAGAAGTGAATTGAAATTTAAACACTAATTATAAATGTTTTGCCTATAAAATACAGTCACTACACTATATTAGTGAATCCTGTGAATCACTTGAGATGTCCTTCCAATGTGAAAGGCAGTAGCTAGATCAAATATTATTATTGATGCTGATCACAGTCCCTTTATTCAACTTTTATGCACAACCAACAGTTGTACAGTATTAAATGTAAGTGGAAGAAATTTCCGCAAATCATTCTACTCATGAAGTGTTATTAGGCAGATCTTTTTAGAGGTGTAATTATTTATATGCATGCGTAATAATAACATGGAATCTTGCAGAATTCTGTTGGATTAACGTAACATTTTCAATTACTAATGCAACAATTAGTAATACATTTAAAATTCTATAATTATCATCTCCAGCTTGATCAAATGTATGATATATAGTTAAAGAATACCTTTTACACGATGGCATTATTCCAAGAAAACAAATTTTGGTTCAATTACATTTGTATTCATTTTATATCCTACAGACTCAAAAACAGTTGCCTTATACGACTGTCCCTTATATATTGTAATTACACTAATAAGATCTGATTAATGAAACTGACTGGTCTTCTGGGATAATTGTAGTTATATAGAATATGAGAAGATTAATGTTTGTTCATAAATGGAGATTTTTTCACACAATTAGATCAAAGTTTGTCCCATCTGTTTTCATGGTTTATTAGGAAATGTTATGTTACCCCTTGTTTAACCAGGTAGGAAGTGGGAAAGAGAGAACAATTATTTATTTTGACTTTGCTTTCTTTGCAACAGCAAGAGTGAAATAACTGAAAATATTTTCAACGTGTTTTTAAAAAATGTTGCTGGTGGGTGGGTTATTGTTTTCAAAGTTGATAATGAAAATGAAAGGTGCGTAATAAGCTCTGTTTCTCTACAGAAAAAGCCAGCAAGGAGAAGGTACGAATCGTTTGGAATGTGTTCAGATGACGATGCTAACAGTGATGCATCCAGCGTCTGCTCAGAGCGTTCCTACAGCTCCAGGAACGGCAGTATTCCAACTTACATGCGACAGACTGAGGACGTGGCTGAGGTCCTGAACCGCTGTGCGAGCACCAATTTTTCAGAAAGAAAAGAGGGTCTTTTAGGTTTACAGAATTTACTGAAAAACCAAAGGACATTAAGGTAGTGAGATTATTTACAGGAAAGTTTTTTTTGGTAAACTCATTTTATTATAGTGAGGCAGATAACATTAGTAGCTGATCTTCTTATTTTTTCCCATCTCAACAGTCGAGTTGAATTAAAACGATTGTGTGAAATCTTCACAAGGATGTTTGCCGATCCTCATAGCAAGGTATGGTACAGTATGTTTCTTTACAACTCTTTCAATGTTTAGCTGTAAAGCTGTATCAATTAAATCAAACTTGCATTTCAGAGTGTTTTCATGTAAATATTGAAATGTACATGTTACTCTCCCCCAATTCTATTTCTTATTACGAATAATGTATTTTGCTGTTTTTTGGAATCCAATGATATATCAACTATACGATCATTTGATAATCCCAATAAGTGAAAGCATCACACTAGCTTTTCAGTAAGGATATTATTTGGTATCAATTAAATGGAGCATTTGAATTATTGATGGTTTACAATTTTCTGTCCTCTAAAGTATATGAAAATGTTCTTATAAAGTTTGCCAGGTATATCACATTTTAAAAGTAAACTATTTTTGGGTTAATGTTATTTTTAACAACAGACTTTTCACTTAGTTTCATTATTTTATTGTAACTTAAGGGCTGAAGTATGTATATTAAATATACTTTAATATCTATCTGAAATAAAATCCTACTATCCTATCTCACTATTTTACTAAAACTAAATACAATAAAAATTCATAGACATAGACAGGTACTTGTCTGATCTAGTTGACCGCTGCTTTGTATCACTTTGAGGTATGCATTATACTCTATCATGAGTTTATCCAAACTAACTAATATTCCTAATTTAGTTTGAATAAATTGCGATTTACTTTTATTTTCTTAATCAGTAGACTATAAAGGAAAAGATGCATTAAATAAAATGTTCATGAGTCTCAAAATTTTGTCAATATGATAGCAATTCCCCATCTTGTGATATGGTGGTTTCTTCTCATATCAGAAATCTTCCATATGGAGTCATCAAATGAGAAGGTGACACTGCTATAGTGAAACCTATTTGGCTAACGAGTTTGAAACAATATGAACCATATTTGAACACTGCATGTTCTGATAAAAAATTAAAATGTTAAGATTTTTCTGCAATACATCTTAAGTAAACGCAATGCCTGATGATGAATTTTAAGAAAATTTTAAACTGACCATTATTTTTTTAGTTTATATGCGTCAGAAATTTAGATTATAAAAGTAATGATAAATACTTTTTTGAACTTATTACCTGAAAAATTAAAAACGTAGTATTTGATGATGCATAGAAAGTATTCTATGCATCATCAACATTTGATGATGCATAGAATACTTTCCTTCAATTGTCTTTTTTTAAAAAATCAGTCTACTTCCCTGTCTGGCCCATCATGTTGGGCATCCACAGCTCAACAGCATGGTAGGAGATTACGAAATCCATTTGTGTCCATTTTGGTGCTGTTTCTTGGAAGACATGCCAGCAATTACGTTGAATTAATTTGTAGGAATGTGTGAATGTAATGGAATGGAATCTCTTCTCGTAGATAATATGGTTGAAAATGGTGTCACTGTCCTTCATGGGGTAATCCCAGTCAAAGGTCAACAGAATGGAAATTTGAACTTGGATGTCTTCTCAAGTGAGGTTAGACAGTGGTAACATCAATCTGGCAGTCCAGTGGGCATAGGGAGAAAGGAAAGAAAAAATAATAATAATCATCCTTGCATTTGATATAGTGATATAGTGTCTTTGAGACGTCTCAAAGTGCTTCACAGAATATTACTGTAAAGTGAATTGACTGTGTATCTTGTGGGCGAAACGCAGCAGCCAATTGTGCACATTTTTTTTAAATTTTGAAGCGATTATCATCCCCAGAAAAACGATCCACCAATCGATTAACAACCGGTTCCTACTTACTGCTAGGTAAACAGAGGCGTGTGGAGTTAGGAAACTTGCCCAACATTTCGCCCTGCGAGGAATCGGACCCGGGTCCTTTCACTTGCGAGGCCACTGCTCTAACCACTAAGCTTATACAGGATATAGGATTTAACATCAACACAAGAAGGTTTTAAGGACAACACAGGTATATTGTAACTGGATAAGTGAAAGATAGGTTTTGATAAAAATGCAAGGATTTGTTTATTTGTTGCTTATCCACAATTAAAACTAGCATGAGATTCAAAATAGAAAGCAGCTCATAATCTGAACACATGTTGTGCATTTATTTACTGTTTGTAACCCTCCAAAGATATAATTATTGTCATTCATAAAACAAATTTCAGCAAAATATTATTAGCACTATATGTTTTTTTTAATTTATTAACATTGGTATTATTTATCAAAGTGAACAAATTCAGCCATTTTGTTTTGCTGTTTCTTTCTGAATATGGATTAATTGCACATCAAAATACTAATTTAGAACCTATGTTAGCTGGGTTCACCCCTGTTAGAATTCCTTAGATAGTTATCTGCTCCATGGCATATATTAGTGCTGGGTGCTCTGTGGTGGGTAGTACCAGGCATTGCTGATTGAATGAATTAGCCCTTAAGAATGGAGTACACACTTCATTTCCAGTTGATTTTCTATTGTGTGGTCCTGATCAAGGTGTAATGGAAATCTTTACACTCTGCCTCACACCCCTTATCTGTAAGTGGTTTGAAGTGGAAAGTAATGCTGGCACTTGAATTTACAACTTAATCATTGGAAGTTAAAGGTACGCTGCTATTTCAATAACTGTGCTACATTCTTAAATTAACAGGTATTTTTGGTCACCTTCTTTACCTTTTCCCACATCACACAACACCCCTGGTCAAGATCACGCGGGTGATCCACTCCCAAGTGACCTCCAGTGCCCTGCTGAAAACAGCTGCTAGAAGGTGCAAGAGTGGCTGACCTTCCTGTGAAAATACAGCTCACTGCACTTGATTCTTTCCCACAGTGACACAGCTGAGATTGTGAATTTGTCATGTTGATTACAACATAGCATGCTTTGGCTCCAATGCACAGCACCACCACTCCACAAGTTTTTTTCATTCTTAAAAAGAAATGCCAGTATGTCAGCCGTGTCAGAACTATTTTGAGGTATGGAACTAAGATGCGGTGAAATACGAAAAGAGAGAGAAAACAGGAGACTCTTACATAAGCTCCTAGGGTCCTTTCACTTGCAAGGTCGCTGCTCTAACCACTAAGCTTATACAAGATATAGGATTTAACATCAACACAGGAAGGTTTTAGGGACAACACAAGTATATTGTAACTGGATTGTAACTAGTGCAAGGGCAGTATGATATGTATTGAACAGGTCCTACATCAAACTCGCAAAGCTTAAAATGGTAAGATAAATGTTAAGTACGTTTTCTTCCCCATTGGTGTTATTATTGATGGCAACTAATTAGTCTTTATCTTTTTTTTGCATGCAAACCCCTGTGTTGGAACTCTCAATAGAGAGTAAGTTTGTTTAGTATTTGTTGGACACCTAACCTTTGCATGACAGAAATTAACCTCCTTCACATTCAAGATCACAATTTTTGTCATCCGAGAAGCTTGTGTGGTTTATTCAACAAATGCTGCATAAATGAGAAGGAAATATTTTTAAAACAAGTAGTGTGCTCTGTGATCTACTAATCAATTGACATTGCTTATCAAATGCTTTACCTACACTGCCTGTATTATGATGTTTGGCGCAACAATAGGCCCTTCAGATTTGGCTCGATTTTAATTTGTGCTTGAGAAATAGACAACTGGATGTATGTCAAGCATTAATGTCTGCTACTCAGCTGATGCTTGGCTGTGTTGTGAATGCACACTTTCAAACATATGTAGCTCTTATCTTTTTAAAGTATATGAAAGAGTATGGGGAGGCCATTAAAGGTTAAGGATAGCTCGCAGGAGAGTGGGATAAGATTAGGCGGCTCATGTGGAGAAAATCACCAATGCAGATTGAATGGGCCAAATTGCCTGCTTCTGTGCTGCAATATTGTATGATTAATTAAGGCAAATCATTAGGTGTTTCAAATTGGCTCACACTATCTAATTTCAATATTGTATTTGCAATTTGTTTGCAACTGGAACCTCATATAGAGCAGTTTATTTATTTTGGGGGAAATTGGCGATTGTCTGATCCAATGCAGGATACATATTTGGCATTTGCTGATCTGTATAAATTAATAAGCTCAGAAATTTCTTAGTTTAGTTGGACATTCTTTAACTTTTGTGTTCGGCTAGATGTATATAGAGTTTAAAAAATAAAAAGCCTGGCAGATGCCAACATTCTTAGTTTGGCCATTTGCTTGATTCCTTTTGAGTCAAAAAAGGTGCTAAAAATGGTTGTAATGTTTTGAGCAAAAATAAAAATGATGTGGCTTAAAAGTTAAGTGCATATAATATGGTAACAGATTCAGGCAGCAGTAATACGTTGATCCATTTAGCTTACCCATCCAACTTCCCCAAATATTCCTTAGACCCATCTATCTCATCATCTAATAATCCTGTAACCCTTTAATTTCCAGAACCCTGTCTAATTCATTGCTGAAACCCTTTATAGATTCTTCTTCCACCACCTATACTGGTATTCTTTTCCATACGTGTTCACAAATCTTAATCTCCCTATCTGTTTAATATAAGCTTTGCCTTTTGAATGGAGTGATTCTTAGATCCTGGGTATTTCCTATTAAAAAATTTGAAAAATAGAACTATAGACAATCCCATTATAACGCTATTGTCTAGGTCTAATAACCCAGGCCTGCGTTATAACCCAGCATGAGAATATAGCTGATTTCTGGGTTGTCAGGTTGCCGCTGATATACTTTTAGCTTGCTATACAAGAATTATCACTGACGTTACTTCCTTCACAAGTGAGAAGTGATGTTTAATGCACATTACTTGTAACGTGCAAAAAGTGATGATGTGGTGATCTGCAAGTCAGTCATTATACAGCAAAGTTAACCAGCTAATCAGGCCATGTGTACTATGTGTTTGGTTAGTGCGGGTCCACAGTAAACCCACGCTCCAAGCAAACCGTACTCCCAGGGGAGGGGGTGGGATATTATTACAGGATTGCCCTTTATTGAGTGGAGATTTGGAATTTCCTGGAGATCTTCGATCCTTCTCTAAAGCCTTGAATTCAGAAAAATCCTGAAAGATAACTGGTATGCATTAAGTACTGAAAGTACTCTTGCACATTATGAAATAAACCATTGCAATGTTGCTGCTGTTGTTGTTTGTCTATTTTCCATTTTCCTGCGAGGTGGTGTATTTATTTTTTCTTTGACATTTCGTTTTCTCATGGTAATTTTGTTTTTCTCTATACATTATGGCAGTTGTCTTGTTTTGTTCATCCCTCTCCCTTTCCCTCCCACTTCTCCCTTGCTTCCTCCCTTGTCTCCTTTGTTCGGCGCCCAACCCTGTCTTTGTGAAGTGCTTTGAGACATTATCCATAGTGAATGGAACTCTATAAATGTAAGATTGTGCTGTAGGTTGAAAACTAATGCTCTCCCTTATTTTAAAATTACTTCAAACACACCCTATAATTCCAATCATTAGTAATAAAACGATACTGTTACTGCTCTTAAAATCTTGTGACAAAGACCCAGTCAAAGTTGTCTTTTAGTTATTTAGGAGTCGTCAGCCATTTAAATGTACAAAATGTAAGGAGGAGCACACAGTCATGAATGTGAGATTAATACTTTGCTGTTGATTAAGATACACTGATTGTTCATATTAGCACAACTGAGGTTCCTTTCCATCTTTAATGAGTGTAGGTTAGGATAGAAGTGGAATGAAGTGCCAATGTAGTTAGCTACAAAGTTTACAACTGAACACTTCATATAATGGAACTTTTGTTTTTTTTATTCTGGGTAAAATATACAATACATTAAATATAATGAAGTAGTATTCTGTCACATAGAAATACAGAGTTTGTATATGATTTGCAGTCGAACCTTGACCTTTTAACCCAAAGTGTTTAAAAACAATTTTTGTTATGTTTGGATTGTGCAATTGGGAAGTGAGTCCCTTTTACTGTCAAAATAATGTTACTAGCGCCAAGCATCATGGTAAATCATTCTAGCTGATGCAGTTGCATGAAAAAATGGACTGTTTTAGTAAAAATGAAAGGGGGGGAATGATATCTGCTTTTATGTACAAGAATGTTAAAAATCATTCTGTGTATCTTACGGAGCACAATCGCAACTTTGCAAAACAGCCTTTCCTGCTTGGCTGCAAAAAATGGCATTTACTGAAATCTTTGAACTTATTACTCATACATGGAACTTGATGGCAAAGTGTTGATTCTTGGCATGTCCATATTTTTAGGTTTTCAGTATGTTTTTGGAAACGCTGGTCGACTTCATTCATGTCCACAAAGAAGACCTTCAAGATTGGTTGTTTGTTTTATTGACTCAACTGTTGAAGAAAATGGGTGCTGACTTGCTTGGCTCTGTACAGGCAAAGGTTCAAAGATCACTTGATGTTACAAGGTTAGTATGATATGACAGACAGAATTTATACAATATAAGTGACAAAGACGTTAATGCTCCGATTTATGTTAAGATCTGAAAATGAAAAATGGTTGTTCTTGTTAAATTATATCTTTAGGTTGCAGAGTGAGATGGTGAAGTCTTATTTCTTTCACCCCACTCTCTCTGTCTTTCACCCCTTCTCTCCCTAAGGCTCTTACTCATGTTGGGGTATTGTTCAACGGGTACTGCTTGTCCTTTGGTACTTTACCCATTTAATCATTCTTCATGTAGGAGCCTAGACAGAGAGTGTTGCCATGTTGTTTGACAGTAGGAAGTGGGGAGCATTATAGCCAAATCTATCCTGTCCATTTGTATACACTGTTCGGGAGGAATCATAAGTGGGAACAATCTCTCGGTGGTTTCTTACCATCACAGTGCTTGATGCGTTTGCACAAGCAGTTCACCTAGATTCTTTTTGTTATTTATTCCACCATTGACAAGAACCAGGCCTGGGGTATGTGGCAATCTTGGAAAATAATATGTAGCGATTTTTAGTGGAATTTCTTTGTAAGGAAACTTCAATGGGGATCAGCATGATGTACTTTGTCTCTGTGATAAGGAATTCCATTTCAAATCACCGCGTGTTAGAACATAAGAATTAGGAGCAGGAGTAGGCCATTCGGCCCCTCGAGCCTGCCCCGCCATTCGATAAGATCATGGCTGATCTTCAGACCTAACTCTAATTACCTATTGTACCCCTTTGCCAACAATAGTTGCAGAACAACTATCAGAAGACCCACAGAACATGTTATTAATGCACCATTGTGAATGGGCTTAGATTTTCCATCAGCTCTGCAGAAGCAGCTCCCCCACTTTACTGCGAACATAGAATTTATCAACAATTCCTCTCATTCTCTTTCCTATGTTTTTTTGGGGAATGGAGGGGAGTTGCGGGTTTGTTTTGCTAAGATTTTGAATTGCAACATAGGATGACTATGCCACTTAATGATTGACAGGTCTAACATCTGAATAACATAAAAATAGTCAAATGTTATGTATATTTTATTACCACCTCCGGAGAAGTGACAAAATCCTGTATTGAAAGTGGAACAAAAAGTCACTTTGCTCAATATTAACATTTTATTTAGAATACAGAATGCAAATCACTGTGAAAGGTACAACACGTTTCGATTCTAGAAAATACGAACATAAGAATTTGCTAGGCAAAAGAACAACAAAATTACATTTGTATAGCGCCTTTCATGTCGGGAGGACAAAAGAAGACCAAGGTTCATCCAGTTCACTTTCCACCATCCTGGCAATCGCATGACATGTCGTGTCCCAAACTATATATTGTATCCCAAGATATTATTTCTGAACAGAAATCTATTTAATTTGTTCTTGAATTAATCAACACTTTCCACTTCCACTATTTCCCTTGGGAGCCTGTTCCAAACGTTTATTACTCGCTCACTGAAGTAGTGTTTCCATAGATTCATTCTGAATTTACCCCCTTCAATTGCAGCCCATGTCCTCTGGTTCTACCATTCTGGACAAGATAAAACAGCTTATCATGGTCTACATTATTTAGTCCCTTTAGAATCTTAAAGACCTTAATCATATCGCCCCTCAACCTTCTTTTCTCCAGCGTGAACAGGCCCAGTTTACCTAATCGCTCCTCATAGTCCAGTCTATCCATCCCCTCAATCATTTTGGTTGCCCATTATTTGTTTTGATTTGATTGACTTTGTTTAGAAAACTTCTGTTGCAAAGTAGAAAAGGAGTGAGAAAACAAAATGTTGGAGGATAAATTACAATGAGCTAATTCTTTTTGAACATTCTTTTTCAGGGATTCTTTCCCAAATGATCTACAGTTCAGTATTCTGATGAGATTCACAGTTGATCAGACACAGACACCAAACCTGAAAGTGAGTTGGACGTACACAGAAATATATTTGTTCTACTGTAAATCCAGCCAACATAAGTCTTATTTTTAAGGGTATTTTGATGATTGACTCAAATATCTTGTTATTTTCCTAGTTTTTCCTCTTCCTCAAGTTCTGAATCTCATTATGTGTGTTCATTCATCCATCATACCACTAAATAATTTTTTTCTCCTGCTTCTGACTTAAAAATAGCAGATACCTTTCTGATGGTGACTTTGTCAGAAACATAAAAATGAATTCACCTTTCATCTGTTTGTAACTGATCATTGGTTAGATACATCAGAACCACTTGCTTTTAAATTATGTTACATTATTGCAGAAAATCAATAAGAACAAAAGCAAACAACAACAAATTGCATTTTATAGTACCTTTCATGTCAGGGACAGATGTCTCAAGGCGCTGGGCTGTCGAGGGCTTACACCTATTTCTTATCAAAGTTAACTTCAGGACAGCTGTTTTTGACCATTTGAATTCTCAGATTTTGAAAATTGACATTGCATATAATGCTAAAGGATTTGGAAATTATGAATCCTTCAGATACCTGGAGTCTTTTACTCCACTGAGATGCTAAATCTCAGTTTAGACTCCTGTAACATGAATAGCAGCCAAAGGAGGTTGCCCTTGATCTTAGTGGAGTCTGAGACTCAGAACGCTATTTACAAATACTTTTAGAAATTTCACATATTAGAATCACTATCATGATAGCGTTAGAACATAGAAAAATCTGGCCAATAAGAATATTTGCTGTCAACCCCTAGTCATTACCCCCATAAGTAAACACATGGCAAAGTAGTTAATTCAACAGTGAAGTATTTCAAGAAAATAACTAAACATTCCTCATTACCCCTGTTTGTTTGCCTCGGTTGGAAGTACTCTTGTCTCTGGGTCAGAAGATAAGTTGATTCCAGCCCAACAAAGCCATTTTGAGCAAACAGTCTAGACTGACGTTCCAGTGCAATGTTGGGGGGAAGGTATCTTCCTTTGGATGAGACATTAAACAAGTCCCATCTTCCCGTTCAGGTGGATGTTAAAGCAACAACAACATCAATAAATTATTTAATAAAATATTCAAAAAGAAAAGGGAGTTTCCAATGTCCTGGCCAACAATCCTCCAAAAATGAATTGGCAGATCACCTCCCGAATGTTTGTGGGACAGTGCTATTTGTATATTGGCTTCAGGGCAAATTTGCTTCCATTCCATTCCACAAATACACAGTTACTACATCTAACTAATTACTATAAAGCTCTTTGAGACGTTTGATGTAGGCGCTATATACAGTATATCAAATGCAACAATTATTAGTATTATTGTGTTTAGAGCTTCAGAGAAAGTGCACTACAGCCATAATTTAGGCCTGTGTTTTTTTTTCGATCACTGCAATTTGGAGTATTTACCTGCTGATTAAATAAAAGAATCTGAGTTACACTGAAAATGTTAAGCTTGAATAATAGATAATTACAGTTTATGAAGACTTGATGTAACAAAATGTGAGATCATTGTTGAAAAGTGTAAGACTTAATAATAATCCTTGCATTTGATATAGTACCGTATTACAACAACAACAACAACAAGATTCCATTTATAAAGCGCCTTTCACGTCAGGAGGACGTCCCACATCTTCTAGATGTCTCAAAGCACTTTACAGAATATACTTTAAAGTGAATTGACTATATATTTTGTGGGCGAAACGCAGCAGCCAATTGCACACAGCAATGTCCCACAAACAGTGGTGGATTGAGTGACCAAATTTTTACATTTTTTTTAGGGATTATTACCACTGGAAAAGTGATCCGCCAATCTATTCATAAACGGGTTCCTACTTACTGCTGGTTAAACAGAGGCGTGTAGAGTGAGGAAACTTGCCCAACGTTTTGCCCTGCCCAGGAATTGAACCCAGGTCCTCTCGCAACCCAGGTGCTCTAACTAATAGGCTACAGCACTCCACGTGGCATGTAAAACATACGTACCTCCTGAAGGGAGGATTAACATCATGGTATGAAATGCCAAGATATCCTGTAGTGTAGTGGTTAGTGTACTCACCTCACAAGCAAGAGGACCTGGGTTTGATTCCTAGGCAGAGGAAAACCTTAAGCAAGTTTCCTTACTCCACACGCTTCTGTTTACCTAGCAGCGAATAGGAACCCAGTTGTTAATCAATTGGCAAATTGCTTTCCAGGGGTATATTAAAAAAAGTGGTAACTCAATACTAAAAAAATGTGGTAACTCATTCCATGACTGTTTGTGGTACATTGCTGTGCGCATTTCGGCCACACAATACACAAGTCAATTCATTTTACAATATGCCTTGTGAAGTGTTTCAGACGTCTCGACGACGTGATAAGGCACTATAGTAAATGCAAGGATTATCAATATCCCAGTCCAGTGCCTATACATACGTTGTGATGGTGGTATTTGAACAATTTTGGTTACATATAACCTTGATACATATTAACCTCACCTGCAATCTAATTTATTGATAAGTGAAAAGTGCTAATAACCGATTTTGTTCATTGGGAAGTTTGAATACTACAACAACAAATTACATTTATGTGGGGCCTTTCACGTCAGGAGGACGGCCCAAGGCGCTGGACAGTCAGGGATCTGTACCCAAGCTGGTGGTTTGGATCAGGAGGAGTGGAGGGCGGGGAGGATAGGGTTAGTATGGTGACCGAAGGCACAGTCGAAGAGGAGGGTCTTGAGACGGGTCTTGAAGGAGGCATTTACAAATACTCTTTATTTACAGGTAAAAGTTGCCATTTTGAAGTACATTGAGACGCTGACTCTACAGATGGATCCTGGAGACTTTGTAAATTCCAGTGAAACACGTTTGGCAGTATCGCGCATCATCACTTGGACAACAGAACCAAAAAGTTCAGATGTTAGAAAGGTATGTGTTATTAATGACTGCGTATTTATATTAAATGTCATATTGTATTGCTTTGAAACATCTCGAAGACATAAGGCGCTATATCAAAGGATTATTATTATACAGTAAGGGTAAGTAAGTAGTGCAGCAGTAAAATGTTCTCTTGATGTTTTTTTTAAATCTTAGATGGAAGTTTCATATTTTGATCTTTTTTCAGCTGAACACAAATATTCTTTTATTACTACTGTGTTTAGAGCTTCAGTCCTTATGTATATGTCGTCTAAAATTCGATCTAATCAATAATCTACCCCACGCATGCGTAACTCAATTCACCCAATAAGTGACAGGTCAAGACTACACAGTGACGGTCAAAACTACGTTTCCCAAGATCCAGTGCTTTTCGACTCGTTGCCATATGCAGACTTACTGGCCGCAGTGATGAAGTGAGGCATGCGCACACTTACTGGTTGCATGGAATCGCGGGAAATGTCATTTTGGCCCGTCGCCTCTTCTGCAGTGCAGTGACGGGTCAAGACTATGTTTCCCACAATTCAATGCATCCGGCTTTTTAAGTGCGCGTGCGTTAATGGATCAGGACGTCATTTCCCGCGATTCACTGCAGTCACGGAGTGCAGGGATGAGGGAGGACAGGGGAGCGGCCTTACGAGTTAGGAGATTAATGGCTTGTTTTTAGAAAATACAACTAGTACAAAGGAATCTAAAAGTGGATTTGGTTGAAGGTGAATGGGACTCAGGTGCATGTACGACTTAGGCGGTTATATGATTCATAAAGATAAGACTTACATAAGTTTTATTTGTTGTATAGACTAGTTTTGATTTGGCGCAGGCTTCTCAGACGTGACCAGCAGAGTCGATAAAACAGTCACCACAAATTTCTGTGACGTTTCTCTTTATTTCATAGCAGATTTTTTAAAGCAGCTTTCTTTACTTACGGAGAAAAGCTTAATTCTTCTTTTTCATCAATTTTACTAAAAATAGGCAACAGTACTGTGATTGTTTCATTCATTTCTNAAAAAAAAATGAAACACTGAAATGGATTAAAGCGAGAAAAAATAACTGCAAACTGTAACAATTAAAATGGCATCGGTTTGAATTTATTTATTTTTAGTTCCCAGTTGAACAATGCTTATTGTTGTAGGGGTATAGTTCACATGATGTAAAATTAACTGTAGAGTGCCCCTAGCTACAAAAGTGCCAGAAAGCTTAATTGTTAACTTGTGTGGTTTTAATTGAATCATCCCCAGCAGCAGCACACTGCGGACTTCAGAGTTTTGAATTATTATTCACGGCTATAACTTGCAATCAGAAACTCTGGTGTGTGTATTCTCTGTGGCTGGAATTGGGCAATAATTACAGCAAAATATTTCAGCACATTCCTTGGTTTGTGTATTACTAAAGTGATTATTCACCATGCTCTGGTCCATTGGAAACCTTTCAGATAAACTTTGTTTGTTGATATACTTCCAATATGGTGCATAGTTACAGAAGTGGAAAATATTGGAGTAACATTTGCCTTTACAGAAGACACGGCAATTCCTCTGATTAAAGATGTGAACATTGAGTTTTTAAAGGCTTTCTATTATCTTTGTTTTGTAGATTCAAGTAATTACAAATGATTACATTTTCTGTAAGTTGCAAGCATGATATTAAAGTCTCATAATTACTATTCTGATACATATTACCTTTGTGGATGACATAAACCTATCCTTCAAAAAAGTGAACTAGACAAAAGAAGTTACAACCTTGAATTGTTAGGCAGCAATTATTCTTATTAACTTTGGTGAAAAAAAACAGTTTCTCTTTTCACTGATCATGTGAGAAGTGAACTCCTACAGGGAGTTTGAAAGCTGACTACTCACAACAGACACCCACTCATACAGAAAGCAATGTCATGCTCCTTGCCCAATCATGGAAACGTTGGGAGTATCTGTAGCTAGCTGAGCTTATACCTGAATAATAGAAGCTGAGATGCAGAACTTGGTCTGAATATCAGGCAATGCCAATCTTGATGCATTTTCCTCCTGTACTTGTAAAAGTCAATGGCCTGGATTCCCAAACCCAGTATAAAGTAGCTAGATTTGCAGGTAGCACACACTGTGCGGGTGGATCTGTGGAATCAGAACAGGCAGCAAAGGTTTTACAAAGATCTTGATAGGGCAAATGAAATTCATTACAGATAAATGTAAGGTACTGCAATAGGAAATAAGAATGGGAAGCACATTTACCTCTAAATTACTCCTAACTTCCAGATACTCTGCTCTTGGTGCTTTTCTTCCTCTTTGTATGCTGATCTTGTTTATATTAAGACATTGGACTATCTTCTATTGATTTCTCTGAATGAAAGAAGTAGGTTTGAATACATTGGGAGGTACTCCAAAATGTTACCTTGAGCTTAAAAGTAAAGTCAATGCAGATTGATTTTATGGAGCAGCTTTAGCAGGAATATTTACATCTGCTGCACTCAGTTTACCAGTCAGTCAATGCACAAAGTTGTGAAAGGAATGCTATCATGGACATTGCCCTTTCATAACTAGAAACCAGACTTTTAATAAGCTTTGGGAATTTATTTTGAAAAATCATATTACATCGGAAGACAGAAATCTCAATCTATTGGTAAACTGCAAAAATCATTGTCACAGGATGTTGATCTGTACAAATAAGCTTCAGCACCACCCATAAGCCTTCATCTAATATCTCAGTACAAAAAAAGTTCTCTGTACAGATATGCACAGAAGCTTAACTCTGAAAAGATTCCCTTTCTAAATTCTATCAAATTTTAGATATTTATTTCTTGCTAATCATTATCAGGAATCTTGCTGTATTATCTAGGCCTCCATTCTGCCCCTGATATGATTAGCAGAGTGAATACCAGGCCTATGGATCTCAGAATCACAGATATGCCATTGCTGTTGAACAAATTGAGTTTTAAATGCCCCCTTCTGGCAATGGTCTTTAGTCTTATCAAAACACAGAAGCAAAATGACACAGTGTGGCAGCGTGAAGAACTGATTAATTTATTGATGGATAGATAGATATACTGTGCAGGATTCAAAGCTACAGTAAAGAAATGAAGAACTGTTGTATAGTTGTTGATATAGATAAGCCAAAATTCACTAGTCATTGCTGTTATTTTCGAGCTTTTGACTCTGCAGAACCTGACAGCCTAATGTAGCTCAACCTTTTCTGGTTAGCCACCAGGAGAGTGATTTTGTTTCCCTCTAGAGCTGTGTTTTAGTATTTCAGTAATTCTGGTTGGCATAGATTTTTTTGCAACCAGCATTTCCAGATATCATATTAATCTTCCTGGCAGCATATATGTAGCCACTTCACTATTGTAATCCCTTTCTTTATTTTGTGGTCTGATGTTAGTTGAGACCCGCATTAAGTTAATCAGCTAAGTGTTTTGAAGGTTCATTCTTGACTTTGAACTCCACTGCCATCTGGTTTCATTGAAGTTTCTTCCAGTGACAGCAAAGTAGTGCTTGTGCGTAATATCAGACTATTCTAGGTTTGCCCTAGTTCCAGCCAATTATATTGAATAGGGGTAATGGAGGCCAGTAATGTTATTTTAATTAGAAGATAGATGAATTATGGTAACATCACCAATTAAAGAATATTAATGAGTCTAATTTGTAATATTTCTTAAACGGATTATTTAATAATGAATCAAAATCATGAGAATAGGAACTCTTGTATGACCTGCTGACCTATGGGAACTCGGTTTCGATAACAACTATTTTCTGAGTGAAGTTCCCCAGGGTCGATCGGTTGGCATTCATTATTAAAGAACCCCATTAAAAAGTAATGCAAATTATACCATAGTATTCTATTAAACAGGGTGATCCAACCTTTTGTCTGCTGAGGGCCATATGCCCTATTTGAGAAACGTCTGCGGCTTCAAAAGTAATATTTTTGTGATTCCCTTCCAGAAACATAACAATTACAGGTTATGGAGGGAGCGGGTGGGCCAGATGAAATGGAGGGAGGGGGGACGGGATGTAACTGGCCGGCCCGCGAACTGCCTTAGACCAAAAGACATTTTGAGTGCAAATACTATCGAATGCTTCTAGAAAGAAAACTAGAAATCTTAATATTGTTTTGACCACTTTTCTTTCAGGCAGCTCAAATAGTGTTGATATCTCTGTTTCAACTCAACACCCCAGAATTCAGCATGTTACTTGGAGCTTTGCCCAAAACATTCCAGGATGGAGCCACCAAACTACTTCAAAACCATCTCCGTAATTCAGGCAGCACTAGCCAGGTAAATGCCCTACATTTATAATAATAATCCTTGCATTTGATATAGCGCTTTTCACGTCGGGAGGACGTCCCAAAGCGCTTCACAGAACACACTGTAAAGACTGTATATTTGTGGGCGAACGCGGCAGCCAATTGTGCACAGCAATGTCCCACAAACAGTTGTAGATTGAAAATGACCAATTTATTATTGTTTTTAGTTTTTTGGAGGGATTATTATTATTATTATTAGGCGTGTGGAGTAAGGAAACTTGCCCAAGGTTTCGCCCTGCCTGGAATTGAACTCAGATCTCTCACTTGCAAAGCGAGTGCTCTAACCAGTGAGCTACAGGACTCCACATACTAAATCATTGGCAGGGTTTGAAATTATCATAAACTGTAAAAAAAAACTTGGCTTGGAGTGGCTATTTAAACTTAGTGTGATTTATGTTTGACGGCAGCAAACTAAATCATGCATTGCAAATTGGTAGGGCATTGCAAAAATGAATTGTGAAGGTCTAATATGCAGCAATTTCTAACAATATTCCTTACCTGGGAAACCAAAAGTAAAGCACTCTGAGCTGAAGGAATTCTGTCCAACAGGATCAGCCTCCATAGGCTGCAGATCATCCAGAACGCTGTAACCCGCATCCTCTCCTGCACTAGGCTCCGTGAACCCATTACCCCCATCCTTGACCGACTCTTGGCTTCCCATCACACAGAGAATACAGTTCAAGATCCTGGTCCTCAACAATGTGATAAGGCATATATCAAATGCAAGGGTTATGTTTGTTAAAGTAAATATACTGAAATTAAGCAACAGTGACCTGTTGTTGTGATACATTGACTATCAAACTGGCCAAGCTAACTAATTGGAAAGAATTGCATTTTTATCGATACAACTATCTTTTCGGTCTTGGTCAGATTGTGAAAATGCTTGAACTTTAATTCTTAGTGACTTTTATCTTTTCTCTGCAGCAGGGATCTAGCAGCAGTTCTGCAACACGAGGTACACCGCGCTCACCTGCAGGTTGGTCCAGTCCTCTCACCTCACCAACCAATACAGCACAGAATAACCTACCACCAAGGTAATGTGAATGTAATAGCCTGTGCACTATCAATCATTGAGCTGCCTAACCGGTGCTTTCGTCATCACTCCTTAAAGATATATTGATTCTAGTCATTCAATTCAGTAGATTTGACTGTTGAACAACCAAATAGTAAATATGCATTCAAATATGCATGTATAGTGTTGATGGTTATGAATCCAAAATAAGGACTTTAGAAATCAAATTAAGTGTAAAAATTGGTTTAGGTTTTGTGTTTTAAATGCTGCATCATTTTTCTATAATATCTGAACAATATATTGTTCCACTTGGTAGATTGGTTAATATTAGATTTGTTTGAAGTAAAGAACATAATTAATTTTGTTACTTTATAACCATAGACTTTTACAAAATATTGCCATAAGCTTTTTTATGCAATGTAAAACAAAGCTATCCTCTGAATTGAGAAGTTGTTTATGTTTGGCTCTATTTTATGAACAACCAATCCCAAAACTTAGCAGCCATGTTATCAAATAGCCAAAGTAGTACTTAAAGTGTACTCAAACATTTTATGGTTTTTGTTTCTACTCTTATGTTGGCTACTTTGTATTGATCTAGTAGCTGCTCATGAAACCATGTAGCTACAATGTCAGCAGAGATCTTTACAGCACCTTTCCTACAGGAACTTCTATGAATAGTATTTATTTTACTTATGTTCTGTATTAGTGCAGTGACATTGAATATGATTTTAAACACAAGTTGAAATTTACTGCCAACTTGTACAATAAGCCTTCTCAACAAAGTGCATTATTTGTTTTGTTGCAAACAGTGCATTTAACTACGACACAGAAAATATGAATTCAGAAGAAATATACAGCTCTCTTCGAGGAATGACAGAAGCCATCCAAAACTTTAGCTTCCTTAGTCAAGAAGAAATGATCGAACCTGTAAGACGGGATGGTAAAAAAGATGGTGATGGAGACCTGGTACGTGGTTTCATATTTCTGTTAAATCTTCTGAATCCTCTTTGGTGTACCAGCGTCCTTTTGTGGACAATATTCCAATTGTGGCCTCAACTGTAGAGGGTTAAAATGAGGTCAGACAAGCCTGTCGAAGGAGGGTGTGGGCTCACGGGAGAGCGACGAAGGGAGTGGGGCTGTCGGGGAAGCAAAGAGGAGTATTTCCATTTACTTTTAACCAACATGTCAGTCTGTTAATAATTTAATAGCTAATTATTATTAATATTAACCTCACTCACAACCCCACTAATCACTATTTTGTTGTTATTGTTATTTTTCAATTTATGAGATCTGTGCCCCAGACCCTATCACCCGTGCCCCCCCTGTCCCCCCCCCAAGCTGCTCTCCTTAGCCCCTCTCCCCATGTCAACCCCCTCCCCATGTCAACTCCCCCCTCCCCATGTCAACCCCCCCCCCTCCCCATGTCACCCACATATCACCATTTGTTGTTAGTCGATTGGTAGTTCGCTTTCTGGAGGTAATAATCCCTTCAAAAATAAACAATAATAATAATTTGGTCACTCAATCCATGACTGTTTGTGGGACACTGGTATGCGCAATTGGGTGCCGTGTTTCGTCCACAAGATCCACACTTTACAGTATATTCTGTGAAGCGCTTTGAGAAATTTTGACGACTTGAAAAGGCGCTACAACAACAACAACAACAACTGCATTTATATAGTCCCCAGCCCATCATGCCGGTTAGCGTCCCGGAGTGCTTGACACTGGCGGAAACTGACCCCGAGCCATGGGAGAGGGAGGGGGGAGGTGACTATAAATACGATCAAGAGGAAGGTCTTTAGGTGTGATTTGAAAGTGGTGGGGGGGTGGGGGGCAAGGCGAAGGGATTGGGGAAGAGAGTACCAGAGCTTCGCACAGGTTCAGTGAATCTTGAGGGAGATCCCAGGGAAGTTGAGTTCGGACACGCAAGAAGGAAGACGTTGACAGGAGCCAAAGGGTATGGCTTCCATTTTGCTGAAGTTCAGCTGCAGGAAATTTGCGCTCATTCAGAACATTAGCGGACGAGGAGATGCAGCTGGAGAAGAAAGGGAAATAAATTTGGGAATCATCCGCATACATGTGGAAGTTGACCTCATGTCTGCAGATGACATCGCCGAGAGGGAGTGTGTAAAAGATGAAAAGAAGGGGCCTAGGATGGAGCCTTGGGGTACCCCGCAGGTGACCAGGCAAGTAATATTATTATTTTTGAAGGCTGTAGTTGCAAGATCAAATGGATTATTTAAAAGGGATATGCATACACACATATATACAGTGGAAAACTATTAAGCCAGACACATCGGGCCCGGCTGGATTGTCCGGCTTAAACGGCGTCCGAGGTTAACCAAAGTCCCATTACCCCTTCTCGCCCAGCAAGGAGGCAGTGGCCCGTCATCCATCCCATTGCCGTCTCCATTTAACGGGAAAGGGACCAATTAGCAGCGGCTTCAAAGTTATTGACGGCCTGAAGCCGCTTGTGAATGTTCGGACTCCACCCATTCACAAGAGGCTCGGCTGTCAATCAATCACAAGTTAACGCCTTCCATTCCCTCTCTTGTTTCTTCCCCGTTCCTGCGACCCCCCCCCTCACTAACCAACAGCTCAACTCCAGCCGCTTGTGAATGGCTGGAGTCCACTGTCTAATCAATCGCAATTTGACTCCTCCAAACTCCATTCTGGAGCCACTCATGGCTGAATGTAGCTGCTCCGAAGACCCAAATGAGTACTTTCAGCAGTGACCAGCGTGGCATTTTGTCCAAATTAATTGGATTGTTGTAAGAATTAATCGGCATACTTAAAACTGGTAAGAATAGAAATAAATAGGCGTGGGTGGGGGGTGTTGGAATCAGGGAGGGGGAAGGGCAGAGAGGGTAGGAGGATGGCCAAAGGCACGGTTGAAGAGGAGAGTCTTCAGGTGTGCCTTGAAGGAGGCAAGAGAGGGAGCGAGGCAAAGGGAATGTGGGACGAAGTTCCAGAGGGTGGTGGCAGAGAGGCTGAAGGCTCAATCGCCTATGGTGGGCGGGCCGGGCGGGGGACATGGAGCAGGGCAGAGCCTGCTGAGCGGAGCCTGCTGGGAGTGGACAGGTTGATAAGGGGTTAACAGGTCGGAGAGGTAGGAGGGGACAAGGCCATGGAGGGCCTTGAAAGTGAGGATGAGAATTTTGAACTCAATCCTCTGAGAGATAGGGAGCCAGTGGAGCCGGGCGATGGTGGGTGTGATGGGATCATGGAGCCTCGTGCAGGAGAGGACACGGGCTGCAGAGTTCTGGATGATTTGCAGTTTGTGGAGGGAAGAGTTGGGAAGGCCGACAAGCAGGGAGTTGGCATAGTCGAGTCTGGTTGTAATGAAGGCATGTATGAGGGTTTCGGCGGCCTGAGGGGTGAGGCAGTGGTGCAGTCGGGCAACGTTGTGGTGGTGGGGAAAGGCAGCGCGGGGTCATGGAATGGATGTGGGGGAGAAACGACAGTTGAAGGTTGAACAAGATGCCTAGATTCCTGACTGGCTTGGTGAGGCGGAGTGGTCGTCCGTGAATGCTGATGTTGCCAGTGCCTGAGGTGTGGAGGCGCTGGCGCGAGCCAACCAGTGGAGCCTCGGTCGTTAAAATGTAGAAAGTTGGCTCTCATCCAGTAGTTGATGTCTGACAGGCAGTCTGCCTGGACATCAGTGGTCCTGGGGCCGAGGGTGGAGACAGAGAGATAAAGTTGGGTGTTATCGCGTATGTGTGGAAGTTGACCCCATGTCTGCAGATGATGTCACCAACGACCGAGACATTGGAGAGAGACTGAAAAAAACACAGGAGCGTACAAAGACCTATTATCTGCACTGTTTTTATATCCACAATGAACCCAGTCCCAATTAATGCAGATATAAGACTCTCTACTGTTCATATATGAGATGCATGACCATCCACATTCATACATAACAGGGAAACATTAGATTAAATAATTTGCCATGATCCAATAAAATGGCTGAACAGATCCATCAGGCTTAGTAACATACTTCCCTTCCTATGAAATGCCTTATGAAAATCCAAATTAATATAAATGCAGCATAATTCTTGCCTACTAATTTAGTTCCTTAGTGATTTCTGTGTTTGTTTTCAGGCTATATTGTTAACACCCATAAAATACTCTTTAACTTTTCCCTACTGGTCGTTGTGTTAAATCTTGTTCATAAACCATAAGCAATTATTTTTTTAAGTGCTTTTAAGTGATGGTTATCAGGTGCCTTTTATTTTAATATTGCTTCTTCTTTATTTAGGCAGCACATAAACTCATGTACCAGTCTGAGCCATTGTAAGTGATCTAGAAGTTCCCAGGTTTCACTGGTGGTCTGTGCTGAGTTACTTTACCTGAACCAAGCCTATTGTGCAAGACACAGAATCCCTGACTTAGGAAAGTCAGGTTTTCCACCATTGATCAGTATTTATTGACTTGCTGGAATATTTGTGTGTGTAAATGTAATTCCATTACTTTTCTCTTGTATTTGGTAGGCCAGTGGTGGAGTTGCTGATATCCGAGGCAGTGGAGATGCCAGTGAATCTGGACTAACTGGTGTGGACAAGACTTCACTACTTAATACCGCAATCCAGCGCGCAAGCCCACGACCACGCGATTATAGTCCTTTCAACTATTCTGATAATACGTCTGTAAATAAATCTGCTTTAAAGGAAGCCATGTTTGATGATGATGCTGAGCAGTTCCCTGACGGTATGTACCGAGCAGTAAGAATTGTTATTTGATCATGATCAAAGCAACTGGTCATAGAAAGTTTACAACACAAAAAGCAGCTATTTCAAATCACTGTATCCACTCTGATGGTAGCCTTTCTATTGAAGGATCCTGTCCTAAAGAACTCTTCCTGCTAATCCTTTCCAGTTGTTAAGATAAAGGAGGATAAAAGAATGGTCAAGTGATCTGAAATAGAAAATGAGATTAAGTTTTTAGGAAATGTACAATCACATTTTAAAAGGCTTTTAGTTGTCTATTTACAGCAATTAGGTTAAGGAAACAGTAGTACTCCTGATGGATCCAAAAGGGGGACATGATATTGAATAACATTGGGTCACAGGAAAATTGAGAGTTTTCCTAAGTGGAGTTAAAATTTGCGAAATAAGAGAAATTTTAAGAACAATAGATATTTTGATTAATGAAATGGACTGAAGACCCAGACCCATGAAAAGATTTCAATGACCAGGATTAAGTGTACACAGGGTTACAGAAAGAAGGAAGATGAAATAACAGAGCACCTAAAGTTATAAGAGGAGTTAACATGGCTACTGGGGGTGACTGGGTGACCAATCGATTGGAGCTGATACAAAGCTGGAGGTATTCCCTCCCTCCCAAGTGACTGGAAATGGTTTGGTCAAGTATAAAAACTTGGCTAGATGAGGGAGTTGGTCTGACGAGTGTTAAATTATGTTTAATGTTGACTAATGAGGAGTAATAATTTTAGGAAAAAATAATGAAGAGGTGGAATATAAACGAGTATTAGTTAGTTTGGGCACACAGCACAGGGAACAAACTTGAGTACTGTACTTGTGGAAAGATTGATTAAATTATCCAAACTCTGTGCAGCAGAAATAAAGGGAGCAAACAAATTATTAAGTTGTTGGTTCCAATAACAACAATCCTTACATTTGGTTTTGTGCCTTTCACTGCAGTAGGTTATCTCAAAGCTTCACATAATATACTGTGAGCTGAGTGTCTGTTTTGTGGGTGAGAGCAGCAACCAATTTGCACACAGCAGTGTCTCACCAATAGCCATGACGTGCATGACCAATTATATACGGGGGATTGTTGGCTGGGTCACTGGGAGAAACTATCTTGTGGGGGATGACCGTAGGTACGGTCGAAGAGGAAGGTTTTAAGGCACAACCTGAAGATGGGTAGGAAGGGCAAGACGGAGGGAATGAGGGAGAGTTTTCCAGAGTTTCAGGACGTAGTGGCTCTAAGCTTGGACGCCAATGATGGAACGAAGGGCACAAGAGACAAATAGGAGGCAGTAACCAATTGAGCGGCAGCAACAGGTTGTGAATTGGAGAGTAAGCAAGTCGCAGAAGAATTTGAAGATGAATATGAGGATCTTGAAATCGATCTGTTCAGTGATAAGGAGCCAGTGGAGCCTGGTAAGAACTGGTGTGGTGGGGGTACGAAGTTTAGTGCAGGTGAGTACACAGTTTGTGGACTGAAGCTGGGGAGCCTGGTGAGGAGGGCATTGGAGTAGTCAAGGCGGAAGGTAACGATCCCATGGATGAGGGTTTCGGCTGCATTTGGGGTCAGATACAGTCTTAGGTGGGCATTGTGACGGAGTTGAGTGAGGTCATGGTCAGAGACAGGATGTGTGGTAGGAAGGACAGCTGTGGGTCGAACCCAACATCTAAGTTGCGCTTGGTTCGATGAGTCTGAGGGATAGGTTGGGGAGGTCAGAGTCACAGGTAAGAAGACGTTGACAGAAGCCAAGTAGTATGGCTTCCATCTTGTCAACGTTCATCTGCAGGAAGAGGATTTCCCCCCTTGCACTCCTTTCCCCTCACTCCCCCCTGACGTTCCTTCCCCCTCGTTTACTCCTTCCCAATTGTTTCCCCATCGCTTCAGTTATGAGGAGAGGCTAGAGAAGCTAGGATTATTCTCCTTGGAGCAGAGATGGTTAAGAGGAGACTTAATAGAAGTTTTGAAAAGTATGAGGGGATTTGATAGGGTGAACAAGGAGAAACTATTTTCACTGGCGGGTGGGTCGGTAACCCGAGGACACCGATTTAAAATAGTTGTTGAAGGAAGCATAGGGGAGGTGAGGAGAAATTTTTTTACACAGCGAGTTGTTCGGATCTGGAATGCATTGCTTGAAAGGGTGGCGGAAGCCGATTCAATAACAGCTTTAAAGAGAGAAGCAGATAATTATTTGGGGAGGACAAGTTTGCAGGGCTATGGGGAGAGAGCGGGGGTGTGGGATTAAATTGAATAGCTCTTTTCAAAGAGCCGGCACAGACACAATGGGCCAAATGGCCTCCTTTTGTGCTAATTCTATGATGAATGTATTTTCCTCTTTAGGAGGATACGTCCTGTTTCGGTTAGTGCTTTTATGTAGTGTCTTATAAGGGGTAATCATGTGGACAATATGACGTCAAGGCAGATTTATGAAAAATTACTCCAATAAATCTCACCTTTCCAGGCAAATGTCCGTTGATTGTCAATGGGATCCAGTTACATACTGTAACCGTATCTGGAAGATGTCAGTAATGAAAGAACTAAAATGACCCAGAAAGATAGGAAATCTCTCTTCAAGGATTAGCTTTCTGAATGTAATGCAGGAGGTGGATGTGTTGTGCAACTAACATATAACTAGTTGTGGCCAGTTTCAATGCAAGGTCAATATTGAGGCCGTCAGTATATGAATGTGCCTTTACCTATATTTGATGTATGTATGTTGACATGTTTACACCAGAAACACGGGTCAGGTAATACTGTGTTGACAAAATATTTTGGCCAGCAGATGCAATGTTGAAAGCTGACACCGGCATCAGTCAGTGTAATTTGTTGTTGTGTGGAACTTCTGAAGACATTGTTTTATATTTACACATTTGGGAAAAATGATAGGGGAAGCCATGTACACTTTTCTTTGCAGAATGGGTTTAGTGACACCATTGAGTTTGTTCCCCATCCTCATTGCAGAACTAAAACACTATAAATTTGAAACATTGTCAGTTTATTTTGGGAAATTTTCAGTGCTACTGTTTCTTTTGACAGTTTTACCCCTCTTTTAATAGTAAAGAACCCTAAATAAAATATATGCTATTACACAAATCACCACCTGCGTAAACTTTGGAGTTGGAGGATCTCAAATATTCTTAAAACTCTGAACTAAAGATAAAATTGCCATGTAAGAATGCAATACAGTGCTTGTCCAGGTAGAACCACCCAACTTGTTATGGTTTCAGTTTGCAGGGTTGAGACTATGTCTACATTTCCAAGATCTCATTGGCAAGTCAAACAGGTTGGTGCCTTGTGTTTGTGCCGACTTGCCTGGCTCTCACAAGCTTAACCATTCAGTCAAGTATTCCCTAATCTTATATTGCATAAACATTTGTCTTCAGACCAGTTCTCATTTTCTTCCGTCATTGGCAGCATTGTTATGGGTCTTTCCAAATGGAAAATAATCTTTCCCGCTCCTGAATAAGCAAGAAGTATGATCTTTGTCAATTTGATGTTCCTACACTTATCTGTTCCAAACTTCCAGTTTTGCATATTTCTTTACAGGATTTTTATAACTTGATGCCAGCAAAGTGGCTTTATTCACTGCATCTTCATTAAGGGCAAACTTGAGAACTGAATTTTCAGTCAAGATATGGAAAAGACGAACAAGCTGTCCACCTCAGAACTTTATCAAATGGGCAGGGGGAAAACAAATCAGTAGCTAATCAGTTTCATTCATTCACAATTTGTGCGTGTATGTGTCTCTCTCTCTGGCACATTCTTCCTTTGACTTGTTCATGCTTCAGTGGAAATAATCTGAATACATTGCAGTAATTTGCTCTCCCCAAAAAAGGTATATTTGCAATATTATAATTTCTGAATTTAATATGTAGATATAATACTTTCCATTGTCTGTCTAATATTTAAGACTTCAGACTGAATTATTAAGCTTGAAAAGCCTTTTCCATGACCTTGATCGCTTCATTGACTTTGGAAGTCAGAAATCTAATACCCAAAGGTTTTCCAAAACATTCAGTTATTGTATGCCATTGAGTCCATGGTTCATGAACTGCTTGTGTTGGAATTAATTGGAAATACTGTATTTTGCTAGTGTTTGTATTTTTGACTGCACCTTCTGAAAGTTGAAGTGCTGTTTCTTTCCAACCGATTTATTTTCTAGCCTTACCTGCTATTATTAAGAATGTCATAACTTTAAATATCGTTGAAGTTCTGGATTCCTCTTTGAATATTTCACACTCTTTTTTTTCTTTCTTGAATCATTTAGCATTTTTTTCGCAAACATTAATATTGGTGTATTTTTTTTTGCACAACAACAGATCTTGCTTTGGATCAGTCTGATTTGGTTGCAGAACTACTGAAGGAACTGTCCAATCACAATGAACGAGTAGAAGAGCGTAAAGCAGCAATGTATGAGCTCCTGAAATCTATTCGAGAAGAGTCTTTGGGAGTGTGGGATGAGCATTTCAAAACTGTTCTATTGCTGCTTCTTGAGACACTTGGGGATAGAGAGGTAAAGTAGCATGATTATCATTTTAAGAATCGGCATATAAAATTAAATAAAAATTTCCAGCCTTTTCAAGTTCTATTCTTCTCTAAACTAATAAAGACAGAATACAATAATCGACTGACATAGAGACATGATTTATATCTCATTGGAAAGGTCTTGCATGGAGAGTGCCATGGGCATATTTTTGTTGGGGGGGAATCTCCTATCGTTGATGTGCTATATTAAAAATATATTTAAAAATGCTTTAATTAAGCCTCCAAAAAGGTTTACATGTATTCTGCAACAAAGTAGCAACAGGTCACACATTCTTCTGGAGAGATACGTCTATACTAATAAAGACAAAATGTCTGTGTGTGTCAGGAGTCCTCCCAACCCGGAGTCCTCTCACTGAGTCCTCCCACTTAATCCTCCCACTCAGCCCTCCCATTGTATCTTCCCACTGAGTCCTCCCAATAGGACTCCTCCCACAGAAATCCTCCCAAAAGGATATGTGTGAAAATATGTGAACAAAGGATGCTAACGAGTTCAGTAGCACATGTTCTTAATCTTAAGGGATAAAGATGCCTAAGAAGCGAAGATCAAGCCTTTCAAGGACAAATAAAAGTTCAAGGAGAAAGGGAAAAGGATTAAATTAAACTAGTTGCAACTGTAGCTGCAACGGGTACAGCTAGTAGTAATTAAAGAGCTCCCAGTGTTATTGCCAGTCAATGCTTCGTTGGAGATGACCACTTAGAATGTTTTTATTCTCTGTGGTAATTGCCGAGGTTCTAATTGGCCACTTCCTATTGGAACGCTTCAAGAAATAATGATAATAATCCTTGCATTTGACGTAGTACCCGTAATATAAAACATCTCAAAACATTTCCTAGGGAAGTCAAGTGCAATGTCTATTTTTTGTAGAGAAATACAGCATCCATTTTGCACACAACTGACACAAACAGCTGTGTTTGATAACACCCAACTCTATGTCTCCGCCTCCACCCTCGATTCCAGGACCACTGCTGTCCTGACAAAATGTATGTCAGACATCAAGTCCTGGATGAGAGCTAACTTTCTACAGTTGAATGTCAACAAGACCGAGGCTCTCCTAATTGGCTCCTCCACACCTCAGGCGCTGACAGTATCACCATCCAGGGATGCACACTCCACCTCATCGAGCCAGTCCAGAATCTTGATGTCTTGTTTGACCCTCAACTGACCTTTCTACCCCACATCCTTGCCATGATCTGCTCTGCCTTCCCCTACTTCCACAACATCGCCCGGCTTCGCCATTGCCTCACCCCTCAGGATGCCGAAACCCCCATCCACGCATTAATCACATCTAGGCTCAACTACGCCAACTCTGTGCTTGTCGGCCTTCCCAACTCTTCACTCCACAAGGTGCAAATCATCAATAACTGCAGCTCCTATCCTATCCTATCCTGCACCAGGCTCCGTAACCCCATCACTCCCACCCTTCCCCAGCTCCACTGGCTCTCCATCCCCCACAGGGTAGAGTTCAAAATCCTGATTCTTGCCTTCAAGGCCCTCCACAGCCTTGCTCCTCCATACCTCTGAGTCCTGCTGACCTCATATCACAGCTCAGTAGGCTGTGGCCTGCTTCACATTCCCGCCTGTCCCATCCCACAATCAGTGGTCGGGCCTTTAGCCTTTCTGCCCCCACCCTATGGAACTCCATCCCACATTCCCTTCGCCTCATTACTTCCCTTGCTTCCTTTAAGGCGCGTCTCAAAACCCTCCTCTTCAACCAAGCCTTTAGCCACCCTCCCCGATCCTGACCCTCAGCTCGGGTCCAAATCCCTGACGTTTCGCCCAGAAAATACAGTCAATTCACTTTGCCGTATATTCTGTGAAACACTTTGAAATGTCTCGAAGATGTGATGAGGCGCTTTATCAAATGGAAGGATTATTATTCATTATAATGATAGGTGTTATATAAATGTAACTTCCCATCGGTCTCCGTGATGCCTCAGCCCACAGAACAACGGAAAGAGAGCTGGATCGAGTGGTATGAGGCAGTGTGGAGAGCAACGGGAAGAGAGCTGGAGTGGGAGGTATTTATACAGTGGTGTAACTAGGAATGGAAATTTGCCTACCCAAATTTCCACTCCCAGCTCTGCCACAGCTGGAAAAATGTTAATTCTTAGTTTTAACGGTTTTACATTTCTTTACAGCATACAATCAGAGCGTTAGCATTAAGAGTTTTGAGGGAGATTTTAAAAAACCAGCCAGAAAGATTCAAAAATTATGCCGAACTCACGATCATAAGGACCTTGGAAGCCCATAAAGATCCGCACAAAGAGGTTAGTCTTTACTGATTCTCTAAATATATAAGGAATAAGATAGTTTGTTCTTTCAACGGTTTAATGTAGTTGTCGCTCTTGTTTAAATTAATTGCTGGTGAAAACATCTTTGGATGGGGAGGGAGGTATGATCTAGCAATACCAAACTCACCGGAGGATGGGGAACGAAGGGTGGTCGTTATGGTAATACAGTAAACTCCAGATAACTCGACCCTTGCTTAACTCGTCACTTTAAATCGTCTTTCCCTCAATTTAAAGACCGCTTCCCATCTAAACTATTAATAAGGGACATTGCTTTACTCGTTTCTCTGCTTAACACATGACTCATCGCATTGCAGAAATTCTTGTAAGTACTTGCAATATAAAATTGATTGGATAACGTGTCCTATAAGATGGTCCCTTGCATCGCAGAGACCTCCCTCCCTATCCTGTGACTGATGTGGGCACTCGTGGAGGTTGGGCACACATGCTCAGATGCGATGTCCGCAGCAAGCCTGTGCTGGCTGAGCAAGCGATAGAGTGTTGCCAAGCAGCTGGGAGCATGGCGGGGAACTATGGCTAACTCATCACATCAGATAATTTGTCACTGGTTCCTTTTTCCTTGAAGTGACAAGTTATCCGGAGTTTACTGTATTTGGGCCCACGTCTTATAAATAAGACCAAACAAAGATTGAATCTCATTCTTCCTGCTTGGCAGATAGAACAGAATTAGCAGTTTCCACATATTTGGGGTGGGGGGAGGGGGAGGAACATGTTTCCACATCTGAGGGATGCACCTACATGTAGCCATGAGGGATTATCATATCAACATTTTGGAATTCCCTTCAATTTAAGATTGAAATTCCTCTGGGAAAACAACAAATAGACAAATTCCTAGGTTTGGTGGTAATCTTGTCCCTGTTAGTACACCGGTTTCCACCAGGAAAAAAAATCTTTGCATTTGATGAACCGTTTGATGATGAACCATCTGATGCAGGAACCCATAGCCCAATAGCTTTAAAGCTTGAGACAGTTTTTAAAAAAGGAACTCTCCAACCCACACCATCTCAAGCAATGATAGTATAATTCTTATAATATAATTTCTTAAGTGAGGGGGGTGGGGCCAGTCAAGTAATTATAGTGCAGTAATTTAAGTTGGAATCAAGCCAGCCCTCTGTGGCGGTCTCGGTGGTCCAGTTCCTGAGCCAGGTGGGTTCGCAGTATTCCAGGGCACTGGTGATGATAGCACAGGACCTGGCTCATCGGCAGGACCTGGGAGGACAGTTCAGGCTCTGGGGGTAGGGAGTCATCCCACTCAGCTGCTGTTAACCCTGCAAGCCAAAGCGCTAACGGGTATGTATGGTGGTCCTAACAGGAAAGGTTGCCAGACAGCAATATCAATGGCAAGTTATGTGGTTTTAGCTGGTTAGACTCTAGCAGTATCCCAACGCACCTCCGGGGTCCCCAGGCCTTGGCTTTTGCCAACCTGCACCTAATACTTTCCGGAATTAGATAAGCAGATGCGTCCCTCCAGGGGGAGAGTGCACATTCCATTCCAACAATTTTTCTCTGGGATTTCTATGTGTAGGTGGAATGCATGGAATTCTTAGTTTGGTTTGGATACTTTTAAGCATGGTGATGGGTTTCCACACATGTCAGACACTCGGCTGACCAAAAAAAAGAGTTGGCTCTCAAAGCTTGTTCCCAGTCGAAGATTGAGGGGTTTTGGTGCGAGTCTTCCTCCCTAACAATCCTGAGAGATGACCATCCATAGGATTGTTCAGTAACAAGAAATGCAGGGTTGATATTTGATATTTGCGCATCTCACTTTTTGCTCAAAATAAGTGAGACTCTAGAAATGTGAGTTTGTGGATGATTTTAGCCATTCATGATCTCAAGAGCACGTACAAAATGTCAAATTTGGAATTAGCATATTGATCTTTTCTGGGAAGGCCATGTTTGTTTATAAGCCCTTGAAAGGACATAGTTCAGTGTTACCTAATATGTTTATCCCTGCCCCCCACCCCCATCAAGTCCAAAATTTTAATGTGCAGTCAGCCGCCTTGAGATAGTTTTGAAGTTTGAAACGCAAGATGTGAATTTTTAAACTAGTTCCTGGATTTAACATCTTTAAATTGGATAGGTTTTGTTAGATCTGACCACAAGATGCACTTGTTAGTGGTGAAAAGTCTCTAACCCCTGGAATTCTGGAACTCCCTGGCTTAATCCCACCACTTTGCCTCCTCATTCTTTAAATCCCACTTTAATAGGTCTTCCCCTTCTCCCTTGTTCAGCATCTAATTTCACCACTGTGCAGCTTTCCAAGATGTTATCCTGAATGAGGGGAGCTATGTAAATGCAAGTTGTTGAAGGAATTAAGTGAAGTTCAAAGACATAAATATGAGAATATCCTGTGGCCCATGGAACCATTAGCTAAAATTGTTTTAATATATAATTGCTCATCTGTTTTAAACGGTCCTATAGTGCTTATATTTCAGTGGGATTGTGTGTAAGACTGGAAATAAGACATTTGCAGCAACATTAATATGTCATTCATTCTTGCCTTAGTAAGATGTCCAATGTATTGTAAAACATAGTAGTGCTAAGTGCTCTGAGGCATCGTCCTGCCATGAAAAGCACTATATGAATGTGAATTATAATGTTTGGACCGTGCATGAGAGAACTGCTCACCAGCTGTGTCCTTGCTACTACATTGTGCTAGTTCACCTTACGGTTCAAGAACCTGGTCCTCACCTTCAAAGCCCTCCACAGCCTTGCTCCCCCCTACCTCTGCAACCTCCTATCCCTCTATCATCATGCCCACTCCCTCCGGACAGCGGGTTCTGGCTTGCTTCACACCCCCCACCACGCCTGCCCTACCATTGGTGGTCGAGCCTTCAGCCAGTCTGCTCTACCCCCTGGAACTCCATCGCTCAGTCCCTCTGCCTCGCCTCCTCCCTTGCCTCCTTCAAGAACCATCTCAAGACCCTCCTCTTCAACCGTGCTTTCGATCACCCTGCTTCCCCCCCTGCCCTCCACCATCCCCAATCCCGACCCCCAGCTTCTGTCCGAAACACTGACTGTCCAGCGCCTTGGGACGTCCTCCCGACTTGAAAGGCGCTATACAAATGTAATTTTGTTGTTGTTGTAGTATAGTATAATTCCAATCATCACAGCTAGGGCTGCCCTGTAACCGGGTCACAGTTCCTTTGACTTTATGGCTAATTATTTACTTGTGATTATCAGTTAAAATCCGAAAAACTGCAGAATATGGAAAAATTTAATAGGAGAGCAAAATTGTCGAAACAATTCTTTTAATCTGCTGCATTGGTTTTATTGTCCTCTCAATATCCACATTTTCCTACTAACACAAGTATGTTACCAACCCAACCTGACTTCAAATTATTACCAAAAAAACGGAAAATACTGCAGATGCTGGAAATCTGAAAACAAAAGCAGAAGTCGCTGGGAACACTCAGCAGGTCAGGCAGCATCTATGGAGAAAGGAAAGTGAGTCAACGTTTTGGGTCCACAACCCTTCATCAGAACTGGGGCATGTTGGGAGGGAAAGGCTTTTAAGGGCTAAAAGCCTCTCCCTCCCAACATACACCAGCTAGACCCGAAACATTGACTCACTTTCCTTTCTCCATAGATGCTGCCTGACCTTCAAATGATTATAGCTGCTGCTGATTAATCTCCTTTCAGCTCCTCTAGCTCGCCCTGAAATAGTTTTAACACCCCACTCTCCCGTGCAGCTTCCAGATCGCTTGCTCTTCTGTTCTTTCAGAGATAAAACAAACTAATGCCAAGGAAGAAAAGCGTCTATTAAAACTAATGCACTAGTTTTGATGGAGCACCGGCACACTTGTTCAGATAGCTCCCCTGTTATTATGTTTCTTTGTTTCCCCACCCTCTGTCACCAAACTCATCCTATCCCTAAAACCAACCACCTGCTCCCTTGACCCCATCCCCACTCCACTCCTTATCTCCCAGCTCCACTTTCTTGCCCCACATATCACCGACATCATCAACCTCTCCCTCTCCTCTGGCTCTGTCCCCATTCCCTTAAAAACTGCCACCATCACGCCCACCCTGAAAAAACCCTCCCTTGATGCGTCGCAGCTATCAAGCTACCGGCCCATCTCCAACCTCCCCTTTCTCTCCAAGGTCCTGGAAAGAGTTGTCGCCTCCCAACTGCGCTCTTTCCTTTCCACCCATTCACTTTTCGAACCCCTTCAGTCAGGTTTCCGTGCTGCCCATAGCACAGAAACTGCCCTGGTCAAGGTCACCAATGATATCCTGACCATCTGTGACCAGGGCTCCCTCTGCCTCCTCGTCCTCCTCGACCTATCGGCAGCATTCGATACGGTCGACCACGCTATCCTACTCCACCGCTTGTCCTCCCACCTCAACCTTCAAGGCACTGTCCTTGAGTGGTTTAGGTCGTACCTTTCTCACCGTCTTCACTTTGTCTCGACGAATGGCTTCTCCTCCACCCCCCGTACTGTCTCATGTGGTGTCCCTCAGGGCTCTGTCCTCGGTCCCCTCCTCTTCACCCTCTATATGCTCCCCCTGTGGTGACATCATCCGCAGACATGGAGTTAACTTCCACATGTATGCGGATGACACCCAACTCTACCTTTCCTCCTCTACTCTCAACTCCACGACCACCGATGTCCGACATCGAGTCCTGGACGAGAGACAACTTTCTTCAGCTCAACGTGCGAAAAACCGAGGCCCTCCTGATTGGCTCACGTCAGCGCCTCCGCACCTCAGGCGCTGACACCATCAGCATCCAAGGCTGCACTCTCCACCTCTCAAAGCCAGTCAGGAACCTCGGCGTTTTGTTCGACCCTGAGCTGTCCTTTCTCCCTCACATCCGCACCACAACTGGCACCGCCTTCCATCACCTCCGGAACATCGCCAGACTACGGCACTACCTCACCCCTCACGCTGCTGAAACCCTGGTCCACGCCTTTGTCACCTCAAGGCTGGACTATGGGAACTCTCTCCTCGCCGGCCTTCCCGCCACCTCCCTCCACAAGCTGCAGGTCATTCAGAACTCTGCAGCTCGTGTACTGTCCCGCACCAGGCTTCGCGACCACATCACTCCCACCCTCGCTCGCCTCCACTGGCTCCCCATCCCCCAGAGGATTGATTTCAAGATCCTCATCCTCACCTACAAGGCCATTCACGGCCTTGCTCCCTCCTACCTCTCCGACCTACTATCCCCCTACCTACCTGCCCGTACCCTCCGTTCCTCCGGCTCCGGTCTGCTCCACGTCCCCCGCCCCAACCGCCCTACCATCGGTGGTCGGGCCTTCAGCCTCTCAGGCCCCCGGCTCTGGAACTCCATCCCCCAGTGCCTTCGCCGCCTCCTCCCTTTCCTCCTTCAAGGCCGGTCTCAAAACCTTTCTCTTTGACCGAGCCTTCAGCTCCCCTCTCGACTCTCTTCCCCCTCCTCGCTCCCTCCCTTCCCTCCCCTCACCATTTCCCCCCTCCTCGCTCCCTCCCTTCCCTCCCCTCAACCTGACCATTTCCCCCCTGCTCGGGTCATGACCCAACTGTGCAGCGCCTTGGGACGTCCTCCTGACGTGAAAGGCGCTTTATAAATGGAATCTTGTTGTTGTTGTTGTTGTTTTCTCTTGCTCACCAGAAGAGCAAGCGATCTGGAAGCTGCACGGGAGAGTGGGGTGTTAAAACTATTTCAGGACAAGCTAGAGAAGCTGAAAGGAGATTAATCAGCAGCAGCTATAATCATTTGAAGGTCAGGCCGCATCTATGGAGAAAGGAAAGTGAAGGAGAAAATAAGCGCTGAACCACTCAGGCAATGCCACAGCCAGGTGGGCTGCGAAGACTAAATATTTCATTTGATTAAGTTTTGCAACGTTATCTGAGAATTTTTAGCCGTGGAGGTGCATAAACAGAGGCTCCCCAAAAAATTGAAACCGCTTTCAGTGCTCATATTTTGTGTTTGGATGTCACTTGTCTCTTCATGAATCTGTGTTTTCAGAATTTATTTAAAATACAAATTGATGGTTGTGAGGTATAGTGGGCTGATGGGGGGAGATTGGGTTGAAAGTTCTGCCCTAGATGATTTCCTTGGAGAACTAGAAGGGAGTAAGGTATAGAATAGCAAGTTCTAAAACAGTAGGAAAGAAGAAAATGCCCACTACCAAGTGCATTCCTTGCAGCTGTCAATGACTGATGGTTCGCATGGTAGAAAATAATCTTTGCAAACAAATAAGTGTTTGCATTTTAATCACATCTATCTGCATACCAGCAAAGGACCTTTGTATGTGTACATTATATCCATATTATCTTCGCAGTGTCATGTGAAGTATGATTTTTTTCAATGCAGGGAGATTACAAAGCAGAGTGATGGTTAAACAAATGCTGATAGGATTTGTAGATTTAATGTCCTTTTATTGATCTTTAGGTGGTGAGAGCTGCAGAAGAAGCTGCCTCAGCCATGGCCTCATCCATCAACCCTGAACAGTGCATTAAAGTGCTTTGTCCTATCATCCAAACTGCAGAATGTCCTATCAATCTGGCAGCAATCAAAATGCAAACCAAGATCATAGAGAGAATCTCGAAAGAAACCCTCAACATGTTGTTGCCTGAAATTATTCCTGGTCTGCTAATGGTATGTGACGAGATAAACTTCTAAGTATAATAATAATAATAATAATAATAATAAGTATAGGCAGTTAGGTAGATGGGCTTGAAATGTGAAATGATTTTGATGCAAATTTGATGAATTAAAACAATTAGAATTGAAAAAGAATTGTAGTTTGAGAATGATAAATCTATTGAAAATGCAGAAATATCCAAAAAGCATTCAGGAAACATACTGAATTGTGAGTAAATATGAAATAGGAATTAAATACCTTAAAATAAGATTGTGAGATCTTTATTACAACTTATAATAACCGTATTTATTATAATTGTATTTTTAAAAATAATCTTTTAGGTTCTCAAAACATATTTTACCTGTTTCATTAAGCAGTTGTTTCCTTGATTGTGTGGCATATATTTAATATGATTGAAAATTGGTGCTTTGCATTACTGCTCAGACTGAGGACATTATTTAACATAATGTAACTTTCACAATTCTCCTCTAATATAGCTGTGTGTTTAAATAAATGGCTTTTTCAGGGTTATGACAATTCAGAGAGCGGTGTTCGCAAAGCAAGTGTATTTTGCCTTGTTGCCATCTATTCAGTTATTGGTGAAGACCTTAAACCACACCTTGGTCAACTCACTGTCAGTAAGGTAAGTTCCTTTTAATTCCTTGTGTCTTTTACACCAGTTGTCAGGGATCTCAGATTAGATATTTATTTTGTGTTGCTTAATTTATAAGCATTCCTCGCCTGTCTCCCGAGTTCCACCACCCAGAAGGTCCGGCTCATCAAAACTCCACTGCCCATGTTCTCACCTGTACCAAATCTGCCTATCACACCAATTCTCACTCGGCTCCATTGGCTCTCCATCTCCGAAAGGAACATCTTCAAGATCCTCATTCTCACAAATAAATCCTTTCATGGCCTAGCACCTCCCTACTTCTCTGACATACTTGTACCCCACTCTTCTGCCCACCCATTTCACTCAGCTAACACAGGCCTGCTGCGCATCCCTTGACCCGTCCGTGCCTTCAACCATGACAGACCTACCCTTAGAACTCAGCATAGCCTCCGCTTTATTTTAAGCATTCCAAGATTCTACCACTTGTGAAGGGCACCTATAAGGCTGTTGTTTTGTTGTTAATCTCGTTCACTTTAAGACCTATCTCTTCAACTATGTCAATAGTCAATTCCCCCCTTCTCTGTTGCTCAGTGTCAAACCCTGAAGTGCTCTGAAATGCTATCCTGAATGAAGGGGGCTATGTAAATCCAAGTAGTTATATCCAATATACAGTTCTAATTTTATTCATTAATTCCCACTGGTCCTTTCTGGAAAAAAAACACTTTGATAAGCTACAGACATGGTGAATACAGTCCTTTACAAGTTGTTCTTCTAAAACTAAGTCTGGCAGCTCACAGTGGGGAGGTTATTGGGATGCTACAAATTAGCCTCGACACTCTGTGCGAGAGAGGGAAAATTAGTCAGGGTTTCCACTCTGACTGCTAGCTCAGATGTAAAGCTAGTGAATACAAATTCATCCACAAAATACACTTTACAGTGTATACCCTGAAGCACTTTGACACATCTCAACTACATAAACATTATATCAAATAGAAGAATTATTATCTGTATAACAGGTTGCCACCATTTACCATCAAGGCTGACATGTAAATGATGGATTCGGCAGAGGGAGAGTGAAATTAAACTTTTAACTGCTTGCCTTGTTGTTTGTATATACTGTTAGTCTTCTTCCCTATACTCTACCCTCTTTTTATTATTTCTTATTTCTAGTTAAAAACTTTCACATGGAAGAATCCAGTTCCCACTGGAAATGCTCAAGCACAGCAGATTGACAGGGCAGCATTAGCACAATAACAATTAATTAATTAATTAATTAGCAATTAAAAATAGGTCAATAAGCACTCACAGGACCTCCTGCTGAACTGGTAGCAAACATAAAGGACTTTTGTGCACCATTGGAACCCATCAGTGTTTCCTTTTCACCTCTTTTCCCAATTAACCAGATTATTTTTTAGTTGATGCTATAAGCAAAGTATATTCTGAAAACTTCTCTGTCTCTCTCCTCTATTGTTGCTGGAGACAATTCATAACAATTTCTTCCCTATATTAGATATGAAATGTTAACAGATAGCAATTTCACCATTCAGCAAATGGAAATATTGGAATGGATATTTGACAAACTCATAGGTGACATGAAATTCATTCAGTGGGATCATATACATAATGCAGCTGCAAGTCACGGTGTACCTGCTATCCGTTGTAAGAGGATAATCTTCAGGTGCAGCTGTGTTTACTTCATTGCAAAACCTGAAGTCTCCATCTCATTTTACAGTACTATTATTATTATTTGCAATAGAACATCCTGAATATTAACATTTCTATGTTTGTTGAGGAGGGTGAACACTGGTTGTCTCCAGAATAAGAATTCTATTATTATAGTGTTGTTACGGTCTGGACCACCTGAAAGGGTGGTGGAAGCAGATTCGATAATAGCTTTCAAAAGGTACTTAAAAAGGAAGAATTTGCAGGGTTGTGGGAAAGTGTGGGGGAGCGGGACTGGTTAGTAGCTCTTTCAAAGAGCCGGCACAGGCACGATGGGCCAAATGGCCTCTATCAGTGCTGTAAAATTCTGATTATCATGTGAAGCACTTTGCAAGAATTGAATGGATTCCATCTCTTGAGATCAGAGTAAAGGTGAAGCTGTTTCCTGTAATATTAAGCGTCCTCTGAATGAAGCACAATTGCCTTATATTTTTACTCAAGAAAGAGGAAAGTTGATAATGCTGTTATTCTGAACTAATATTATGTTGCTACAAAGGTTTACAAAGAATGTGCAGCATGGAAAAAAGCAAATTGTTTGTGTCCGTTTATATTCCACGAGTCGTCACCCATTCCTTACTCCCTCCCAATCCCTTCTATTCCCCTCTCCCTCATGTGAACAACTAGCTTCCTCTTAAACAACCACACTCTCTGATTCAACCACCACTGAGTATTATGTTGTTATATTAGCTAATGTTCTAAACAATTTGAAACAAACGTTATTTCTAGAATGCCCATTTTGGAATTAATTTCTTAATTTGCGAATCATTTTATTATTGTTTTAAAAAGAGTAGCCTTACATAATTGTTGATTGTTACAATTATCAGCCTTATTCATATGTGAATTGATATTTTAATTATATTCTCTCAATGTTTACAGCAATTTTTAAGTGTTATATAATGAAGACCTATTTCACACCTTTTGTATTACAGATGAAATTATTAAACTTGTACATTAAACGTGCACAAACTGGCTCCAGCACAACTGGCTCAACATCAGACCTGGCTGGTCAAAGCTAGAGATAGCAGTTATTTTACAGTAGAAAGTGTCCTGAGGAAGGAACAACCAGTTTTTCAAGATCAGACTCTCCTTTGGAATTTGTTTCATCACACGTGTATGCAACAAACTGCTTCCCTCAGCCTGCATGTGACTGTTGCACCAGAATTTATTCCGGAATAGAGGGGACAGTATTAAAGTCAATCCAGATAAATAAATCACTTCAGCTTCTTGCTCAAACTCCAGTGTGTCTTCTCATTAACATTTACCAGTGTTACAATTATATAAATAAAATGCTAATTATGATTAAAAAGCAATGCTTTAACCTTCGGAAACGTTTTTTGCTTCTATTACAACTGCATTACAACCTCCTTTAATTATGTTATTTATTTCTTAAGTTTCACAATCATCTGTAAACAGCTTTTAAATCAGAGCAGAACCAGATTGAACTGTCACCCACAACTCTTTTGTTTTTGGGTGTATGCTATGACAACAAACCTTTTAGGATTATAACTCCATGTCATTGCAATAGAGCTGGAATTGTCTGGTTCTGCGGCTGTTACTTGCCTGATCTCTGATTTACTCTGCTGTTCCCTCAATAAAAGTAATGTGCACTAAACAGACGAAAGCTAGAAGTGCCGGGCATTCCTGAGTAGCAGAGAACTGGCTCTGTTTCCTGCATCACAGTGGTCAGTTTAAGTGACTCGGTACTAGTTCTGTTTTGAGGCTCGTGCCATTACTAAATGGACATGAACCATACTTGTCATCACGCCTTCTTCAAGCAGGATCCATCGGAGTGGAGTGCTCTACACAAGCACACTCAGTATGTAACCTGTTTGTGTTTAGTATGAATTTCTAGTACAGTTCTAGTAAATGCACATACATTCATCAGGCAGTCAGTTTTCAGGAGATATACCCCAATTGTGTTGATGTACTACTGGGCTATTGAACTGAACGTTTGTCTATGTGCGCGATGGTGGCTTTGTGATAGCCTTTGCAGGACGCTTAACATGTGTAGCTACTACATGTAAATGTCAAGTTTTTTTTTATGTTGGTGTCCACTTAGCAAGGAAAATGAGAAGGATCATTAGGGAGCTATCAGCATGGTGCATTAGTGTTCTCTCTACCTCTTGTTGCAGACAGGTATTCTTTCAACCTGCTTTCTTTGAAAAAGTCTACTTTAACTGGTTGCTCGTATTGGTCATAAAAATCCTTTATAATGACTAACATTCAGTGATATGTGCTAAGTCGATATTGGAAATAGTTTTGTTGCCAGTTGTTATGTGATGGTGATGCTCGTGGAGACAGACACACAAAGTCCAAAACAAAGTGAATGCATCCAACATGAATCTAACTGAGAAAGCAGGTCCTGCTCATTCTGTTGTTTTGCTGCTGTTGCAAAGTTGCCCTTTTTTTGTTTCATGAAAACTTTGTAGAAATGTATTTAAAGATTTTAAGGGAACAGTCTCTTTATCGGTCACTGGCTTTTTTTTAGCAGCTGCATCAAGGATATAGTGTTATGTGAATGTAACATTTTAGTTTTACACTGTATTATTACGTATTTATAGTTATGTGCTTACAATTGTGCATACACTGGCAATAAACTGTATATAACATTAACTAATTAATGAATCGCCAAAGTTGATTATTTTGTCTTCTGTGTTCATGATTTTTTTCAAGACTAATGTGTGTCATCCTGAATTTTTAAAAATCCTTAAGTAGCATTCTGTTTAAAAGATGCTGCAATGTTATTTCTGTTACCGTTACAACAAAAATCTGATTCTTCCATTGATATCAGATAATTCTGGATTTTTATACGGGCTTAGAGGCTCGAGTTAGTCTTTATAAAGCGTCTGGGGGTCTGTGCGAGCATCATTTAATCAATGGTCTTTAAACTGATCTGGCTTCACTGAAGAAAAAAATGAAGATACTGTGCACCAGTCATGACCAAGCCAATGTTCTCCAGATGTAGGGAAGGTGAAATTAATTGAGAGAACATCTGCAGTATAATTGCAAATTTCAGGTGTTCAATCTGCAGCAGGGTTTGAATAGTATTATGAATAATTGGACCAGTTAGCACTTGGATATGTAATGTTAACATAATTCTCATCCCCAATCCCACAGTATCCTGACAAAAATGTGCTGTCCAATTATATGTGGGGATTTGTCTGTTTCTGCAGATATTTCCTGTGGCTTTAGGCAGCATGAACTTTCTAAAGAAATTCATTGAAATTACACCACAGAGGGCCATTGATCGGCTAGTGATAGCTTTTCATTTGGAGCTTTATCTGCAATTTTAACACCTTGCTTTTCCCCCAAAATTTGTAAAGTTCTTATAATACAATCATGGTATGTTAATTCCAGTCCATCCTGTTTGGTACAAAAAAAATTCAGTCAGTTCACTTCAGAGTATATACTGTGAAGCGCTTTGAGACGTCTCAAAGACGTAATAAGGCACTATATCAAATGCAAGGATTATTATTATAATGTGCAGCACGGAAACAGGCCACTTGGCCAAACTAGTCTGTGCTGGTGTTTATACTCCACCCATATCTTACTCCCTCTCGTACCCTTCTATTCCCCTCTCCCTCATCTGAAGGTCCAGCTTCTGAAATGCATCTAACCCATCTGATTCAACCACCTCTCCAGGCAGCGACTTCCACAATCTCACTAACTTCTGGGTGATGTCGCTCCTCCTAAATTCATTTTTAGATCCCCCAGTAGCTATCTTATATTTGTGTCCCCTGGTTGCAGACTCCCCAGCTAGTAAAAACAGTTATGTTCATCTTATCAAATCTTTTATAATTATAAACACTTATTTTAGGTCCCTCCTTTAAACATCTCTTCTCTCGCGAAAAAAGGCCTAATATATCGAGTCTATCCTAATAGCAGTAACCTCCAGTCCTGGTATCCTTGTATACTTACGTTGTAATAATAATAATAATCCTTGCATTTGATATACTGCCTGCATACTCTTTGGCTCCCGGCAACGTCTTCACTCCTGCAGATCTGAACTCCTCAACCTCCCTGGGCTCTCCCTCAGACTCACCGAACCAATGCGCAACCTGGGCATCCGGTTCGACCCCCAGCTGTCCTTCCTCCCCACATCCTGTCCCTGACCACGACCGCCTTCCTCCACCTCCGCCACATTGCCCGCCTCCAACTGTACCTCACCCCAAATGCAGCCGAAACCCTTGTGCTTGCGTTTGTCACCTCCGACCTGGATTACTCCCAATGCACTCCTCGCCGGCCTCTCCAGCTCCACTATTCAAAAATCCAGCTCATTCAGAATTCTGCCACCTGCATACTGACCCGGACCAAGCTCCATACCCACATCTCACCAGTTCTGGCCAGACTCCACTGGCTCCCCATCACCGAACAGATCGATTTCAAGATCCTCACACGTGTTCAAATCCATTCACTGCCTGGCACCTCCCTACTTCTCTCCCCAATCCACCACCCAGGGCCTCTGCTCGACTGGCACCGGCTTTCCATTTGTCCCTCACACCCTCCACTCCACCATTGGAGGTCAGCTTTCAGCCATTACATCCCCAAACTGTTGAATACTCCCTCCCTTAATCCCTCTGCCTTGTCCCCTCCCCTTTTTCAAATCCCACCTGAAAACCTTCCTTTTTGACCGTGCTTATGGTCACCTCCCCCCCCCCCCCCCCAGTTGTTGCCTTATCACATCTTCGAGACGTCTCAAAGCACTTCATGGAATATATTGTAAAGTGAATTGACTATATTTTATGGTTGAAACGCGACAGCCAGTTGTACTCTTTTGATCAAATACTAAATCCTTTTTTAGACTGGAGACCAGAATTAAACACAATACTCCAAATGTGGTCTAACCAAGGTTTGTATAAATTCAACATCACTTCCTCACTTTTATGTTTTTATCTCTCGTGATATAAAGGGTTAGGGTTAGTGTTGGACCCTATTTGACCTTTTTAAAGCCTTATTTATCTCCCTGTGTGCTATACAGAGCATGTGAATAAATCCAACTCTGTTCCCAGTGCAGTACTTTAAAATGCAGTTCATTCAGAATAATTGTAAGAGGAGAATTACACAATATTGCAAGATAATAAAAGTAAACAAGTAGATATGCCCTCTATAATTTGGAAAGTAAACCTTCAGTAGAAGTGTGCATTTGTACACTACCGGCTTTTGTATGAAATTTTAATCTGATCACAATATAAAATTTGAGTAAAGACATTCTCAGTAATCATTGGTTAGTTCTTGTAAACTGGTACATAATAGATCCCAATGCGAAGGACAGGTACAAAAAAAAAGGGAAGGATAAATTGCTCTGCTGACCCGTTTGAAATCAGCACTGGAAGATGTTATCTGCCCGTCTTGGAATAGCGTGTTTTTTTTCCCCCCATTGCTAAAGATTGCTAAATTTGGATATGATTCCTAAAGACTTCAAAGTGACTTTCAAAACTCCATCATTCACAAAAGGATCAAGAGATGTAACTGGTTTCTGAACATGTTTATCAGTTGTGAACACTTCAGAAAGCATAATTTATCTAAAAGACATACAGGAAGGGAGTTTGTACTTAAGTAAATTATTGTTATATTTTGAAAATATTACTTGACGTAAAATCAAAACAATTAAACATTAAAAATTGTATTATGGAACCAATGGCCAAGCCACAGCTATTTTGTAAGCTTAATGCATTCTTCAGTAAGTGACCTTTAACTGCAATTGATTTTTTTTGATCAGTTGGATGTCTGACACATGTGGAAACCCATCTCTATGCTTCAGAGTAACCAAACCAGACACAGTCCCATGTATGCCAACCTCACATGAAATTTTCTGTGTCTGGAAATTGAATGCCCACGTTCTCCTGAGAAGGACCAACTGTGTTTACCTAAGTCTGGAGAGTATTAGGTACAGATTGGCAAGAGACAGGGCTTTGGGAACCCAGAATGTGTTTTGTGATGCTGTTGGAGTTTACCCAGTTAAAGTCACATAGCTGCCATTCAAAGCACTGTCTCGCAAGCTTCCAGTTGCCTAAACAGTTAGGACCATGACCCATCAGGACTCTGGCTTTCAGGACTAACTGGAGTGGGAAGAATCCCTGCCCAGTCTGCCCATCCAAGTCCTGTTGATGAGCCATGGCTGATGGCATAATCGGAACTTCTAAATACAAGCAAAAAGTGACAAACTCTAGGGAAAGACGTCCACGGGCAGGAACAGCATGGTGTGAGGGTTTACTGCAGGTTTTCTGGATGTTTCTGGATGTATTGGGTCTTGCAGGACCCTGGTAGTCAGGTTTAATTTATATCTCCACCTTTCATTTGCACAAGAAAGGAATCAGTCACAAGCATCCTGGATTTGTGCCCCAATTCACTTAACGGTTTATTCTGTGAAGTGCTTTGAGATGTTTCAACGACGTGAAAAGGCTCTGTATCAAATGCAAGGATTATTATTACTATGTTCAGTGCACAGTCTCCATGGTAACCTAATTGGAGTTTAAAGCACTAAACAATAATGATAATCGTGCATCTTAGCAGCACAAAGTCCCAGATGGAGCTTTGGACACAAGAACACATCTGCACTTCTAAATCTTGGATTAGCCGACAGCTAGCCAACCAACAGCAGGGTCTCAGATTATTACATTCCTGTCGATCTCTTCTGAGTAGAGGGTGATTTTGGGGGGAATTGTACTCGTTTGAAGAGTGGACCTACAAGAATCTAAACCTCTCATCTTCTAGTCTTGAGTCCAATGCTCAATAACTTCAGTTATCCAGAATGTCACAAATGAACTGTAGCTTCTAACAGTGCAGCCAATGATCTAGCTCTTTCAGGAGAAGATTAATAGTTGGACAGACCATACTATTAAATGGGGTGGGAATTGTGTGCACCATTGAGATGGAGTTTATTACTTAAAAGTATCTTCCAGATATAGATTCAGAATCTCCCAGTGGGTACATTTCCCACGCTTGTCAAGGAATCAATCATTTTATACAGTGCTGGGGTTCAGTCTAATATCAGGAATACACCTGAAAACATCCTCTTTAGGGATACATAATTTCTTGATCGCCCTTCGCCTTTGAACAGATGCATTGTCCATAGTGAACAACTATGTGCACTTTCTCAACATAGGGAAGAGATGTAAGAAGTTGATTGATTAAATCTGCATAGTGAAGGCAAGTGAAACCACCAAGATAGCGTTCAATCCTTTACAACACCCTTCTTTACCTTCAGCAGTGTGCAGACATAGCTAACAATGAGATTGCTGCGCTGCAACCTTAAGTTTTCAATCACACTTGTTGCAGACTACAAGAATAAGGGACCAGAATTGAGACTAAGTTTATTCTATTGCTTTGCACAGCCAGTATCTTGCCAATTTAGCGATTTTGTTGCTAGATCACGTGACTGTTTAGGTCTGTTGGAGATTTCTTAAGCTTTGCTGCAACAACTCGCAAAATTGCAACTTTTAATGATGACATTCTGGCGACTTTTTGGAATTGGTTACTTCCCGCCTTCATGAGCCAAGGCGGTGTGTGTGGAGAGAGGGGGATGGAGAGAGCAAGCACATGCCTAGCCAGCTGCCCATCCTCACGGTGCTCCCTGAGAGCTGTAGTCTAGAGCCCGCCCCCAATGTCCAGACAAAACACA